ATAATTTAATTTATTTAAATTATTAGGTTCAATTTTTCGAATAATCTATGTTTTTCCTAATTTAAATTTTACGAAATTGAATTTATATAGAATTCTTTTTTCTTTGAAATATTTTTATTCTTATTATGCTATATTGTATTTCAATTATTTCTGGAAAGAAAATTAATTATTAGAATTTAAGATATATGCTATATTTATCTCAGCAAATAAATAAATTTCATTAAATTTTTATAATAACCTTCTACGACCTAATATAAATAAACGCCATAATTATTTTTATAGGCACCACTAATAGAGGCCATCAAATTTTGCACAAGATTCAGGAGATCGCCGCCTAGAGCAATATGAAGCTGGATCGTGTTTAGCTGTCAGCAGCATTAGCTTCCTTAGAGGCGAAAAGCTTAAGGAGGTCCCCCAAGCGAAATACCTGGAGGTGCTGCTTAGCTCGGATGTTGATATCATGGCCAGGCTAGATGAGGCCAGGAAATATTTCAGAATACTATATAAGTTCGACAGACCTGAATTCCGCCTGGAATTTCCGTATCTATAATGCGGTCTTCGTATCATTGGTCGCTTATGATATGGAATCGGTGGGGCTTAATATGGCGGCTCTCCTCATATAGAGGCCTTCTATTCATAATGCCTATACAAGATGGACCGGATCCCATCCATTTTCTAGCCCAAAGTCCTCCCAGACAAACCCGGCGCCCAAACTACCCGTATTAACTCGCCAATCAGCCCCAGCCTCACTCCTCCCACTTATTCGGGACAATTCAAATTATTTGGTCATAATTTGGGAATACTTCCGAGCAACCTTCAAAAGAAATCTATTTTTATGAAAACATTTATATATTTGGAAAGTATATATAATATTAATATCCGACCTCATCATAAAAATAAAGAATATACTAATTTAGCTTAGCATTAATCAAATCCTATCCTATCTTTTCTTATTCATGAAAAAATTTACAGACTAAATATATTTTATATAGAATCGAATAATTTAAAGAAATTATTATTTATTCTATAAATTATTAAATTCGAATCATTATCCTACAGATTTTCATTTCGAATACGACTTATTTCAAAATAACTAATCGTATAAACTATATAAATAATTATATATAAATTTATAAATCATAATTTGTATTTTCGATTAAATTCGAAATATAATGAAATAAATTATCAATCATATTTATTCAAATATAGAATAATCCTATCAAATTTCTTTTTATATTCATCAAAATACCAAATATATTTTTATATTTTAACTTGCAAATTCATTATTTTATCCCAAATTCCGCATATTCTATATTCGAATAAAGAAGATAAATTATATCTAACAAATTCAATTATACCAAATCTAAATCTAAATTAAAATCATTATCAACCTCAAATATTTTTTAAATATTTCTAGAGAATCTCCAAGCCAGAAAAACTATAAATTATAATTTTTTAAAAACCCATGCATAAAATATTTAAAATCCCTTATCGAACCGAAACCTTATATCGACACAATCCTAAACACAATCCTAAACCTTGATTCTTATAACAAATCCTAGATCTTGAAAATCTTATACACTATCGCACCCACCCACGCAAAGAAGAATCCTAACTCATAAGAAGAGAGAATACGTCATTCTAGTTTTAGATAATTTGAAATTTAATTACATAATCAAAAGAAATGAATCAAGAATAGATATAGAATCAAGATGAATCAAACAAAGTCAATCACTAAGCTTATAAAGCACCCCACCCATCCACGCAAAGAAGAATCCTCAACCATAAGAAAAGAGAGAATACGTCATTCTAATTAAAAATATAGAAATTTGATTGCGTAGAAATCAAACAAATTAGGTTGACATTTTTTTGAAACAAAAGAATCCAATTATTATTAATCGCATATTCGCCACAATACATCCAAGACGCTACAAAAAATCGAGTTATCCTAGTAATAACCAATTTACTCAATACATTCAAATCCTGCAGCCTACTACATAGACGAACTACATCATTAAAAGACAGTTCGCAACTTACCATGTAGCGTACATAGATAAACCTTAAGAGAAGATAAGTGAAAAGACCCCCGTTGCCCTCCTCCTCAAACAATACCGCTGTCACCTTCAGGTGGGGAAGGCCCCCCACCTCTATTTAATTCCTCGAAAATCAGCTGTATGGTAGAAACAGAGATAAAGTCCTTATCATAATTTGTACCTAGCTCCCAGCTACCTCAACGGGAATAAACGACAACTCCGTTATCTTTATTTCATCTACATTAATTACACCCATAGAAATCTCCAATTATTCACAAACTCACGACCATAACAACATATGAACAAACATACATATTATACAACTAGTATTTCCAGACTTTTCCATATTTCCTACATTTTTCCATATTACCGTCCACGACGAACCTACGATCAAGATTAGCAGACCAGAAAATAACCACCACGACACCACAGACCACGAAGAGAACATCAAGAGATCACCAAGATTTCACTAAGAAACCGACAAGACAACCCCAAGAGACCGCCAAGACATTACCTGAATGCTTTCCCCATGCTAGTGCATTCGGAAAACGCACCCCGAATACTTTGCTCCAGATCGCCACGATTCTACCACTAATACGAAACTACTCTCCCGAACGATAGCGCGTGTTAAAAGCACGAAGCTTCTACTTCCCCTCTTCATTTTGCAACATCCAAACAGAGACCCCGAATCCTTTCCTCCAACTATTACTACGATTCCACGTTATAACAAGCAAACAATCATCCATTCATCTCAATTTAAACAGGTCAGGTTCTCCACAGCGCACCGCCGTGCGACTTCTCCGTAAGTAATAAATAATAGGACGCCAGCGAAAAGCATACCCCGCGCCTCAACGAGCAATCCGTCTAACAATATCTGTCGTACCCGAAACCCGAAAAATGTTAAACGCTATAGTGGACCCCCAAATTTACGGCACCACAACCACCAAAACGTATAGACTTTACGATAGACGATATACGACTATCGTACAAATGATATTCTGAGCGGAGATCTCTCCTCAAACGAAGATGTTTCTAAATTAAATATTACAATATACACTCCAGAAATCAGGACTAATTTCCCAGACCGACCATTGTAATGCTTTTTGTTTTAGTTTAATGCAAACTCGAGTCAAATGCATTCAAACACACAGCCTGCATTCGGCAGTCGATGCTTTTTTTGGCCTGTTTGCTTGATGTTTTGCTGCTTTGCTGTATCCCAGATTGAGAATATGACAAACGACGTGAAAATGATGTTGCATCGTGCTATGCAGTGCCTTGCTTTGGGACCGACCTCCATTTCGTGTCAATGTGTCATACACACTTCCGCGGTTGACTGCTATGCAGCAGTATGCTGTGGTGTGTGATGTGCAAAGCCATGGCAAGGAACCAGTTTTATTGTCAAAACCAACGCAGCCTCCTCCGCAGACTTAAACGACTTTTATGCTGGAGCTCCACCCCAGCATGCTACCCTGAATGCATCCATGGTTCAGCCTATTTCAGGTGGGCCATCGCCCACAGATATTGAGGTCATTTGATGTCTAGCTAGCAGATGCCGAGCCACAGACACCTTGTGCTCTGCTTGCTAAGACTCCGGCGAGCTGGAATCTCTGCACACAAGATCAGATGCGCATTGCAAGCAAACCTACTTGTGGTTTCGTAACAATGCATCTAACGTCGATGCACAATTCAACAAATCACGTGCTTGGATTCCTTGCACAACCTGGACTTGCAAACAGCGCAGTAGAAGTGTAATCGATCACACCATCGCAGAGCCAAAGCTCCAAGATGGGTCAGGAATGCCGGGGTGGGTCAAAAGCCTAGGTGGAGTTTAGCCACTCACGGGGTGTCGGGTGTCCGAAAGGACTAACATGCCAAGGTCCCGATGTCCGTTTCTCTATCCAACTCATCTTGCTCTGCAACTTCTGATATGGAAAGCAAAGCGATGATCCGACAAAGGTCATGGGCAAAGTCCATCACCTTGACTAGCATTGGAGCTTCAGGGTGTCAGCACATGATTGAACAGACACAAGACCAATGAATCCTGCCATCCGAGAACGAGGCACGATGACGGCAGCACGCCGCAAGCAGATCATCATGCTACCTGATAGCAATTCCTGCTGCTACCGAAGCAACTGCAAGTAACTCTGTCTCTGCTGATGTTGTGTGCTATTGTTTCATCCTGCGTATCCAGCGATACTTGGAGTTTTCAGGGTGCTCTGAGTTCCCAGCGAGCACGGGGTTCTCCTTCTCTATGGCCTTCAGCATTGCAGTTTTGAGTGCAGAGCTGCAAAGGCAAGGCATCCCCCTTTGCAGCCTGCAGGTAAGCCAGGGCATCCTTCGCTGTCTTGCCTTGCACGAAGAGGTCACACCTGAGTGCAGGTCGTCTGTCTGTGATGACTGGCGCCACAAGGCTGCCGTTGGCTTCTAAGAGAAGCCTCGAGTCTCCAAGCTTGCGGCAACCATGTTGGCAGTCCATCTGCAGGACCCACTGCCTGGCCCGGAGGTTGCGACGCCCACCCTTCACTTCGGATCGGCGGTCTCAGCATGACTCAGCCTCTCTACAAAAGCTGATCACCTCTCTTGGACCCTCGACTGCTATCATCTGGCTCAGCGATTGCAGGAAGCTGCAACTCCCCGACGGCCAGGCCTTTGCGCCCACGCGTGTTAGCGGCTTGGCCCACACGACGTTGTCTCGCTTTCGGAGTTCCTTCCGACTGGCAGGGAGTGGCTTGAAGGTTCCTGCAGCGAATGCAGCCTCCAGTTTACTGATGTCGGTGACGGTGCCGGACTTCATTGCATTTACCTGCCATGCTGGTGTATGCATCAGTATCTCACTGTTCTCAGCCAACCTGGTGCATCAAGAGCTGACAACATGTGAACAACATTCCCGCTGTGACTGATGCACCGCCATGTGATACCGCCGCTTGCCGTTCCGACAACCAGGCAGAGTCACGTAGCAGTAGGCTGTGCCAGATACGGGCTCTCGCGGAACCTGAGTTCCCGCCAGCCGCCCCGTGAGACGTGATGTGGAGCTTTCAGGACTCGACGCAAGGCCGGGATGGGATTCCCAGTGCACAAAGCATCGTTTCCTGCAGAGCAAGGTCCACATAGTTGGAGAGCCAGTAGCTTTGCATTTCATCCCCTCGATCAAGAGCGAAGCTATCTTCTGGCAAGAGATTTAACCACAAGCAGACGAAGAAGGCAAATCAGCTCCTCTACCAGGTCAACGCCCCAGGTCAAGCGATTGCATTCGTGAACCTGTCCTGCTGAGGTCTCAAGCGACGTTGGAGCGTTCTCTCTCGCTCTCTCTACATGTTTCCATACGTCAAAGCCCGAGCCTCCTCCCATTCGGGCATTGACCTGCACCGACAGCTATGATCTCAGGCTTATCAAGGTCCCTGAACATGTCGTAGAGATGCTTTAAGGCTGCGTGACCTCGATCAGCTGTGGGCCATGGGAGGTGTACTTCAACCTGAAGTCAGAGCACCGACGACCCGTTGTTGTCGTCGGCGAAGATCGCTCGCATGACTTTAACCAGAGTACGCAGAAGAAGCTCAGAAGTGCTCTGCTGCGTCATGCACTGAGGGCGGGGCTCAACATGGAATACTCCACAGGTAAATCCAAGAGCTTTGATGCCTTGCTTCCCCGAGCTTTGGAGCTGCAGGAACAGTGCTCTGGAAGAAGCACGGCATGCTGGAACCGAAACTCTTAAGGCTGCGACATTGCACACCCAGGTCTCTCAGTGCCACCTGTTGGTCCTGTCGGAACAGAGCAGAAAAGGGCAAATGCTTTTATTATGGTGCGGTTGTCCGCGCGCGCCTTGGGCAAGAGGGAGGGGCAGCATGCCCATGTCCTGGACAGCAGACATGTGCCTTCGTCAGCTAAGCTGTATGCCTAATGCCCTGCAGCACTCTCAGGGCCCCAGCTCGTTGAAATACGGCTCCAGCGTCGGGCCGTTGTCTGCAACACAAGCATAGACGTACTCACCTGGCCACAGACTGTGACAACTCCCTTAAAACCATGAATTTCGGTCTCTTGGTCCTTGGTCCTTTTCTCAGCTGGCGAGGACAACTTGTGGTCGTGGCAAATTGGTCTCTGTGTTACAGCTAGACGCACGCCGTCGCCTTCAAGTGTACTAGCACTGCCTAACCACGCGAGCTCAGGACGTGCGTGTTGAAATGCTTCAAACAGAGGCACGTGCAACTTGCAGTGCTCAGCTGCGCAAACTTCCTCCCCCAGAGCGTGTGGAGGGCATGCCCAAAGGTCACTCCAAAGGGCATCCGGCTTCATGGGCACCATGCTTCACAGCCTGCCGCATTGTCATCTCCGCACTATACTGCGGCTGCAAACGCAGCAAAAGTTACAAGCCTTTCTAGTATGCCACGACCGCCACGGCGCAGCTAAGCCTCCAAACTCGCGACATCAAAAGGGAAGTTACACAGGTGAGATTTAATTGCAGCCAAAATGCACCGCGAGGCCCATACCCCTGGGCAGAACGTCATCAAGGAATTGGAAGCTTGTGTGTAAGGGAGCATGTGCACTTTGTACATCGCCTCCCATCGACTCAGCAAGTGGACCAAACGGATGCTGCACGACAGCGAAATTCCGCTGCTGCAACACGTCGTGTCAAAAGATGCTTCCCAGGGCGATTATGTCACAGTCTATTCAATGCCTAGTCATATCACTGGAACTGTAGCTGTACCATGCTGTACCTATGAAACCTGGCGAGACCTGACCTCTGGAGCTGCCAAGTGTCAACACCGTCAGGAGTCCAAACGGCATAAACTTCCTGTGGAGTGCATGACAGCATCCCAAAAGTCCCTTTGCAAACTCGGCTCGTCTCGCTCTCTCTCTCTACCGGTCTGTGCTGTGGCCATGTGTCACTGAGCGAAATATGGATGCCGTGGCACTTCTGAGATCCATCGCCAGTCAAAGGCTCGTTCAGTTTCTCCTGTTGGGGGGAAGCTACGCGACCTGTGGTGCAGCTATGTGCTGCCTCTCCACGGTATCGCTAGCCATAGATGCATGTGCATGACGCTAAACGCGGGAAATGTATGGCTGGCCACAAACATTCAGCATGCAGGTTGCATGGTGCCACGAATTGCTCGGGTCACATGTACTTTGGACACAACTCAGCCTCTCCGGATTTGTTGAACTTTTGGAAGAACATTCGAACCCTCGGCTTAGGCACAACCGGCGCAGCCATCTCGATCGTGGAGTCACCAAGTCGAGAGGCCGGTCGAAGCTAGCAGCTAGAAATATCATATGGAACATGCGGGATTGGCTGCAGGTGCATGCAGCCACGAGGCAGCACAAGGCTAAAGACGCACATGACACAGCCGCCGTAGAACGCGTTCACCTCGCAGACAAGAGCAGCGGAATCACGTGAAAACGGAGCATGTGCGCAATGCGTAACTGGTCTGTTTAATGTGCCTTTTATGCCGGTTCAGACTTGCATGATTCATCTTGCGGCCAATCGCGTGAATGCACGCTGTCCAAGTCAGAGAGCCCACCGTCACGAAATGATACTTAATGATACCCCTTGGCCTCGACCCCATAACTGAACAGAAGCAAGGACTTCATCTAGCACCTGGACTGTCGCGTAGACAATGGCGACCAGAACCAGACTCACAATTGTGCTTGCCTTAGATGACTTGCATGGTGGCTCAGCGAATCAACTCAGAGAGAGTGAACTCTTTTAGGCAAACCTTCTCAGGATATGAGTTGGTGTCGCTCTTGTCGGACATTTGATGCTGTCCTGCTGCCGAGATTCAATCAAAGAGGCTTTGCTCTTCGCCTTAACAAATCCAATGATGCCACCAACCAGCACCAAACAGGCGTACCTTTGTGACGCAGAGATGTCTTGTCGGCTTTAGCTTGTCTTTCTGGAGCTTGCAAAATGCCAGCCTGCCGAAGCTGTACGAATGCATACGCAGGCCATGAAGAGACAAGCTGCAGGATGCTGTAGGCAACCAAAGCGGTGTTCAAGTCGGCCCTTGCGGAGGTCTCCGACATGGCCAAGGTCGAAAGTCCCTGAACGGGAAAGATGTCTTTCTCTGGGTGGCTCGAGCCAACTTGAGCTGTGGCATCAGCGATTCTGGACGCAGCAAATCCAATTGACACCGCTTCGCTTCCGTGAGGCGTCCTGGTTGCAATAAGACATGGGTGATCCCAACCAGGGTTCCAGGATATTATTTACGCTAGACTATCGAAGAAGCAGCTCGACCGTTAATCTTCCCAGCTACACTTAGTTCAGCCGGCCGCCTTCCGACATCACGACCTGAGCCAGCTGCTGCCATGTTTTCACGGCTTCTTTCTACTTTACTGCTGCAGATCCGAGACTTCTCTGCCAAGGAACATCCACGTCGACCTCTGGACCGTCCAGGAACTGCTCCATCAACACGGTCAGGTCGACGCCCGACTGTGCCAGTGGCAAGTGGGCAGCACAACATCTCGCACAGATGATTCCCGTGCTTGACAGCCGCCGTTGGAGCACCCTATATGACGTATCCATTGCCTCCTGCGCGTTGAGCCCAGCGTTGTCAGGGCTGCCTCCGATCTTCCACAGAACTTCCCCTACACATCTTAAAGAAAAGCCTACGTCAAGCAGGCACACATGCTTTAAGATGTCAGGGCTCGGGTGGATGGGCAGAGTGCCGCTGGAGAAGCAGCCCTGTTGTTGAGCCACTCTGCACAAGTCTCTATATTGAAATGTCAGCTAGAGATTCTGCGAAAAAAGGGCTCGCCACGTCAGAATCCTGCAACCGCATCTCAACAGCGACATGAAATCCTATACAACATGATGAGACGAAGGAATGCAGTTGATGTCCTGCTGGGTCTGGATCACCAAAGCTTTCCCAGTAGAGTTTCTGATATTTGGGATGCTCACAATCGACAATGCCCCCCCCTCATTGTTTCGTTTCTACACAGGGTGAAACAGATGCAGAGAGAGCGCAAACAGCGGCTGCAGCAGGCCCTGGGCTGGGCCTTGCACCAGCGCTCCTGAAGAGACCTCGGCTACAGATCTGAATTTCGCAGGCGGTGGTCATGCCGAGAGGAGGCCTCTTTGTTGGGACTTGAGCTCCGAACGACCAACGTAGACAATTCGTCCACAATCTCCTTGTAACACCTCAGAAATGCTCCAAGAGGACTTCCCCCACAAGTAGGTGATTTTTCTCCCTAACTGTTTGCCATAGGATTTTCGAAGCACCCACCTTAGCTGCGACACTACTATGAAAGAATCTTCCGAGCCCTGCTCATCTAGATCTACCGCATCCTAGAAGCATCGGCTGAGAACTGGACTTCTCCATCTCCACGGAGTTTGTTACCTTCTTTACTCCAAGTGAAGCAGCACCGGACCTTTGCAAAAGCGGGGTAGCCAGATTTCAGGCGGTGACTGCATGGTCCCTTCAATACGACGCACGAGGGACAACTGGGGGCTCGGCACAGGTTTCAACACGGCAGGAAACCCAACCTTGGTTCATTGGCATTTGTTCATGCGGCTGGGGAGTAACTAAGCCATGCAGATGAAAAGAAGGAATGGGTAGATTCCGCCGAGTGCACTGCGGCTGTGCCAGCCTCCTTGAGCTTTGACTTATCGTCAATGAGAAAATTCCTGCGAGGAAGAACTTCACGGTGTGCGCAGTCGCCGTGCAACTCCCAACTCCGGCAATTGCCAGGTTTCGTTGAGCGACAGACATGCAGCTACTCCGGAGTTTCGCATCGTCCAGCCTTGGGGTGGGCAGCCCAGCTGTCTTCAAGCAAGCTCGTGTGGCGTGCCTCAGATCTCAGACGGGAAGCTAGACTCACTGATTGCACTTCCGGAAGTCTTTGGGTGAGGGAAGATCGCAGGTCCCAAAAAGACTCGGCGAGCTGCTTATTTCTCGCTGAATCGACGGCTGCCGGCCTCAGGCCTCTCCATGGCGCAGGAAAGACCCTGCTTCTGATGATTCTGATAGGCTTTGAAGATGCAGGCTTGCAAAAACATCCACCTTGAGAAAAGGTTGAAGGTCGACTTCAATCATTTACACCTGCACTACTCGGGTGAAACGAGAGTACCGCTTCCTGTGACTCCCGTCTGAAGCTCAGCTCACACCAAACGCCCCTAAACCCTAAACCCTAAACCCTAAAACCCTAAACCCTAAACCCTAAAACCCTAAACCCTAAAACCCTAAATGCCTCATCCCGGAATCCCTCGGCTCGTGCCTGGCAGGCCCAGCGCCTCCGCAAGGCGTGCGGCCAGGGGCACGGAGAGCTCCACGAAGCTGGCCTTGGGAGAACCCTAAACCCTAAACCGTAACCTTCCAAGACGAATTTATTGCAAGCCGAGGCCGGAGGCCGGAGGCCGGGGCATTTTGCTTCCCCCGACCCTTTTTTCCTCCTGTGCCTTTCCTCCCGGAAGCCTTTTAGGCGCAAAAGACACCAAACCAAGCGCTACTGGTAGCAATCGCATGACTCATAAACAATCTTCCTCAACCTTTCAAACTCAGCAGGGCGGAGCTCGGGACCCGAAATGCGAGTCGCCCCCTTTGAGCGCCGGAGCTGACACGGCGGAGCTGGCGGCGAGCAAGCACGAAACTCTGCTCGCTTGCCGCAGCGACACCCCGGCAGCGGAGTTGCGCCAGAACAGCTGTTTTCAGCATGACTTGGTCGATCTGTTTCGCATGGGCCTGAGCGCTCGTAAGTCGAGCCAAGCTGCTATGCCATCCGCTGTCCCTGTCAGACCGTCCTGCACGGACACACGAAGAGTGCTCCGGAAACTGAACCAGTCGAGCCACCGTTGTGTCTCCCTGGTAGTACCATGCTTTAGAGACGAGAATTGGGACCAATAAGCGGGTGACGTGTGTGACTGCCGGAGCCTCGCCGAGGTTTTTGATGTGCTCTAGCGCCCTTGGCATCTTCTCAGTCAGCATGACGAACCGAAGGCTTGAACCAGCCCGAGTAAGCCATGCCTAAGATCTGTTACGGTTATCAAGCCCTCTGTCTGAAAAGATGAAGTCAGGTGATTCTAGGTGCCATGCTGATTGAAGATATCCTCCGAAGGCTGCGTCATGTCGACCTTAAAGACATGCCCTGCGTCCCTGCACTTCATCCACAAGGCCGACGGCGACAGGCTGTGAACAAGGTCTGGACGGGGATAAACTTTGCCGCAAGGCCCTCGTCGACGAGGCTCCTGCACGCAGCAGATTCCATCCTTCCCGCCACAACCATCCGTCGCCCTTTGACGGCCCAGACAGGGCTTGGCAGACCCAGTTGCGAGTCCCTGCTTTTTGCAAGTGACCCATACATCTCTTTCCGTGCCCCAAGCCAGAACTCAGGAATTGAAGGAAAATTGAAGGCCGGCAGCTGATTCCGACTGACCTGCTCCAAGAGTCGGGGTGTTCCAGGATCACTGGCTTGATCTCAGCGATTGGAAAGATCAGCAACGACCGATGCAGCTGTTCTTGTGTCCACTCGTCTCAGCCCTATGCTCCAGACACTCTACTTTGAGGGGCGCACGCCCAGGGACGCTGCGATCTCAAAAGTGAACCTGGCAAGAGGCAGAAAGAAGTCAACGAGGCTTGTGCAAGGTTGGCAGACATGCATACCTGCTTGTATTTCTGTACCTACGGCTGCACTCGAACCGACCGCTCCTAAACATTGGAAACCGTGAGCCACAAGCTTTCAGGGGCCTCTTTCCAGGCAGGCCGGCGGTGACGAAAACCACGGTGGCTCCTCGCATCAGCTGCCTGCAGGTGCAAGCCATTCCATCGTGAGGGAAGGACCCAGGATGACCGAGGTTACACGTCATCGAGTGGGCAGCATCTGGTGGAATTCCCTCAACAAGGGTCGTTGTGCTTTTCTGAGCGCAGCTGCGCGTGCTTTGAGCACAGGTGCAGATCGAAATGCAATAACCACAACACTCCACGCACATAGCTAGCGTGGCTTAAATCTGGGTTCATGTACGAAATCTTGTCCGCATGCTGCTGATGCCTGAACTGATGCCTGATGCCTTGTTGGATGCCGCCCTGCAACGCTGAGGACGAGACTTCGTAGTTGAACCCGGTGGTTAAAAACCTACCCGCTAAAGCTCCAAATTCCCGGAAAAGGCTGTGGCAGCCTGCTCCTACTGTGCTCCATGAGCCTTCAGAATCTGTACAGTTGCTTCCTGTCGATTCTGCGTGGCCGCAGCCAGGGGCGTCATGCCCTGAGCATTGGGCTGACTGACATTGGCCCCTACCTTGAGGAGGTACTCCAGGAGCTCCTTTCGGCCGTAGCCGGCAGCATAGTGGAGGCCACTGTTGCCGGAGCTGTCCACAGCGTAAGGGTTGGCCCGGCTGTCCAGGAGCTTCTTCACGACCGCGATACCTCAAGAGGCCAACTCCGACGCCAAAACCCTCGAGCCATCCCTCTAAGCCTCTAAGTCTAAGGGCAAACAAGCTAAGGGCAAACAAGCAGCGGTTGGCTCCAATCGCATAGCCCAAAGGCGTGATGCCCTTGTGATCTTGCGCATCCAAAGGCTTGTTCTTATCCAGGAACTGCTGGACTGCGGCAAGGTCGCCCTTCTTGGCAGCCTCATGCAGCGTGAGAGATGTGTCCTCGATCTTCTGCAGAACTGGCTGGAGCTCGGATGGGAGACCGCCCATCTTCTGGCTGATCTTCAGCATGAGTTCCTCACAAACCAAGGTTTATTGTTGTTAATTTTTGTGTTGCTGAGTTCGTTTGCTGTTCTTGTAGTTTTCGGATCATGGACCCCCGGTCCTGCCTGTCCTCCTCGTGTGCTTGGAAATCTTTTTTTCGTGATTTTTTGTTTTTTTGGTCGATGTTTCTTCGGGTTTCAGGCTTCCACCTCTCAGCGGTGCCTCGTCCGGAGAATCTGGTTTGTTTTATTCCAACCTCATTCGGCGATTTTCTGAAAGCGTGATTAATGCAATTCTTCTTCATGGCGTGATATTCTTGAAAGCAAGTCATGCATGGCATCAAAAAACTCAGTTCTTCTCTTCTTCTTCTTCCTTTTTGACCTTCGCCACTTGTTTGTTCTTTATTTCTCCTCCGTCCCTCTCTCGCTATCGCTTTGTTTGTCCGTCTCGTCTATATCTTAAGCAGTGGCTCCCCTTCCCCTGCGCTGGCGCGCTGCGCCAGTGTGCGTGTTGGGAGGGTCGGTGTGAAACTACGGCATGAGCCCCGATCCCCAGCAAGTTGAAGATCCCCCCTGGCCTCGAGGGCTTAAGACACAGATGTCCCCGTCACTGCTGGCAATCGCACGCGCAAAATAGCTCTCTCTCCCTCTCTCTCTTTATTTCTTTCGTTGTCTCTTTCTTTCACTATCGCCTTCCTTCCTTCCTTCCCATCTTTCTCGCTCTTTCTTTCGCACCTTTCCTTCTTTCTTTCTGCGGTTCTTTCTTTCTTTCTTTCTGACGTGCTTCGCTCTCTTTCGTCCCTAAAGCCGAACCAAACCAAAAAACTCACAGAACAAACAACCATGAATATTGACAAAAAATACGGTACCCACTGCCTCATCCTGGTAGTACTTCATGGCAGCTTCCATGCCATTCTTCTTGATATCCTCGAAGATCGCGGCCAGTTCTGGATCCGCCTCCAAGGACTTCACCTTCGAAACAAGGACTGCAAGCAAAACATACCTCGGGCTGAGGATGTGCTGTGCCTTGTCTTGGACGGGGGTGTCACCATTGGCCAGCTTAGCGCTGTAGTGCTCTGCGATGGCCTGCAGAGACTGCGAGACAGAGTGCAAGCCCAATCACTGACGCAGCAGAAGCCACTGTTGACGCACGTTGTCTGCTGGCCTGGGTCTGCAGCCAGCCCCTCATCGCATCAGGATTCTTCGAGAAGCTCTTCAGTGTTTTCGCGGTGTCCTGATCTGCCGCAGAGACTGGAACAGAAGAGGAACCTACAAGAACCTGACCAGCTTCTACTATCCATTTCGCCGCTCGTCACAGCTGCAGGCCCACAGCCATGTTCCGAAATGAAGTGCCGAGCTGCAGGGTTGCCCTCGACGTAGGCACGCACCTCTGCCCATGTCTGATCATCGACATCGGGCAGTCTGCAGATTTCCTGACTTGGACAGGATCAGGCACGCGAGGAAAGTGAAGGAAGATGAATGCGAGCATCTACAACAAATGGACTTGCACAAGATCGCAGCATGTGTTTCCTCATACATAAGTTCCTACCCTCCCTTCAAACGCAAAGCATGAGGACAGGATAATCATAAGGCTCCGCCATACCAAGCAGTATGCTCTCCTATTTCCAGCGTTCGATCCTGCTACTTTCATAGTCCTCTACGATCATCATGCGTATGGAGAGGCTGCCCCTGCCCCTGCCCTGTTGTGGGAATCGTAGAGTCATGGGGGATGCTGCCATCGAGCACCTGCATCTGTCTCGTAGCATGATGTCTCCGATTGCCTTTGGAGAACCCCTGGTTTGCCATTGCCGTGTGTTGACTCCGCCGTGGCTGTATGGCTCTATTCCTTTTGCTGGATACGCCGAGTTCTGCTCACTTGATACGCCTTGAGCCATCCCAAGTGCGGCTGCCTAACTCCATGGTTTCAAAACTTGTTGAATCTCTTTGATACTGTGACAAAACGTGGTGCAACTGTTGCACATGGACCTCGATTCGCATGATTCATGACATGCCGAGCATCCATGGTGGTGCCATCGCTGATCTTCAGCACTTCGGTGGCCATGTTCGCAACGCGTGGGAATCGAAGCAAAGCGGATCTGAGAAATGCTCCTTACTTTGAGCCTGCATATAGGGTCCGCGTAGTGGCTATGCAACTTGGGCAAATCCACGAGGACTCCGGCCAACATCACCTGCGTCGCATTACCGAGCCTTCGGAGCTTTTTGGCCGACTCATCGGCCTGTGTCAGCAGCTTCTTCGGCACCTCTGTCAGGGTCTGCATCTGTAGATATGAGCTCACCACCAGCTATGCTGGCTGCCCACACCTTTGCCAACATCTGGAACGTGGCAGTGGGCAGTAACTGCCGTATGGCTTCCTGCCAACACAGACTGTGCTCAAGCGTGGGAGGCCAAATGTGAACACGCCCGATATTCTTGGGTAGCAGCAACCACGGTCTCCAGCAGAAAGCAGTCTAGCTCAAGCAGGCAAGAAGACACGAACACAACCTACCATTGCAGCTTCAACGCCCCCAAACACGTGGCCACCTCAAAATGCACGCACGTGCACGCGCGCGCGCACGTACACTCACTCACACAGCTAGCGAGCAAGCAGAGAGTTGCAGTCAGGAATCGCAGTCACATGCAGGACTTGCTTGAGCCCTGTGGCGGCTAAACTATGCTGCACATGTCGGTCAATTCGTATTAGCAGCCTAATGAAGACGAAGTGCTATGGAATGGAACTTAGTGTTGCAGTCTCGTTTCAAGACCGTAGCTTCTGATGGATTTGAATTTGGTCCTCTCGTTGATCTGCTGTCAGAGGTGGCGGAAGTCGGCCAGGAGATGCCAGCAACATTTCCTTTTCGAACCTATCAGGGGCGGACTGCTGCAAATCTTTCCGATCTGGCACGTGACTGCACAAGTCGCCTGCCTGCTACGTTCACGATTTTGGGCTCCAACCCGGTCTGCAGGCAAAGGGCAGTGAGGAGTCAGTCTCAAAGCTCTCGATTCCGATGGCAGTTCAGTATGCTGGCTAGCGGTGACAACATGCTGCTCCGATCTACTCCTTGTATCTGTGAAAGGGCATCCACTTTTTCGTCGATCATGAAACTCGGTTCCCCGCTGGCTGGGATGTCCGTGTCAATCGTCTGAGTTCCTGTTCAAGTTGTGCTAATTCAGGGCTTTCTTCCACATGCTTGATTTCCCCGATATGCTTTTCTCTCTCAAGCTCCGGGGCCTCGGGTAAAGGCACTGCCGAATCACAAGATTGAAACTTTCATGAAACTTTGCCTTCGAGCCAGGGTCAGCCATGCACGGACTGCCCTCTAAATGAATCTGTCTGAGGACAAATAAACCGTGAAAATTAGCCAATTAGTCGAGAAGACTTGTCTGGCAAATGGGTATCCCCGGGAGAGATGAGCATCTTTCTTTCGGAGGCCGGGGCGATGTAAGATGATGCAGGCAGCTTCCGCTCGCTGTCTCCCTCTCTCTGCAAATCTTTATCCGAATCCTTTCTTAAGTTGCCGCATGAGGTGTGAGGCAATGCAAGCTGGTTGAGTCTCTGGCGGGGCTCGGCCTTACCTCGGAACATGGACGGAAATACACAACTGGTGAGAAGGCCATGCTCGTGCATGCGGAAATAACCTTCCATGAAGCACGATGTCTCCTACGGGCTTGGTTTTGCGTCTGCAGCTGGGTGCCAGGCCGCCATCGTCAATGTCTATCACAATGTCGAAGTCGACAGGCCCATCCTGAAGTTTGAGGTTGGAAGACCAGGGCAGGGAAGTCCCTTCAAACAGGAAGTTCAGTTGTTCCATGCATGCCGAAACTGCTATCTTCTTGGGCGCCATGCAACGGAGACCACAGAAGGTCGCCGCCGTGGGATCGGTGAAGCCTTTACTACATGCTCATGCACTCGAGCTCCCTCACGTTCGTCCCAGTTGGCGAAAAGGCGAAAAGCCATGCAGGTACCGAAAAAGCTCGGGTCTGTGCCCAATCGAAGGATGTTTTGGGAGATGCCCTCATGCCAGCAACTGATGACCATGATTTACTACAGCTGCCATGTCTGAGGAGATTCCCTTGGCCCCAAGCTGCCACGTCCCTTCCCGGGACCTCTCCAGCTGCAGAGCCTCTAGCAGCGTTCTGAGAACACCCTTCCGGGCGTGGCATGCTCAAGTTCCTCCGTGCCACCTCCGTGTAGGACTTCACCGGTCGCGGCTGCTTCTGCGGAGAGCCTCAAACGACGTTGGCCGACGAAGGCCCTTGACTCGCCGCTTTCGGAGGCCCAGGCTATCCGGGCGGAGCTCATGCGCTTTCGAGAAGAGACCTGTGCAAGTTCACGTGTTTCAGTGTCCGGATTCCATACCTCAAAACATGACGAGGCATGAAGCCACGGCCTTCGAAGCAGCCGCCGCAGCAGCTCATAATTTGGAAAAAAAGGCCAATGCCCGAAAACGCCAAATTCTCTGAACCCAAAGCTGCATATGCGACGAACAAACACAGCGCCTGGGATCTACACCACGCGCAGCCTACAAACTGCGCGACATGAGCTACATAAAAAGCGTACTCCTTCAACTTCCCAACCTCCCTGGCATCTTTTCTTCTGCCCCGAAAGACACTGCCAAGATGCGACAACACACGACCTGTCCCTACCAGTCGTTCTTTCAGTATTGATTGCACTGGGAAGGCTCTTGCACGCAACAATCAGACGAACCACTTTTGCATAAACGATTCGCGCGACATGCAGTCTCTGAAGCCCTCGTCCAGATCGTTGTATCCGTGCTCACGGAGCTGACATCGCAGAGCGCTGCTGTACCTCTCGTGTTGTTGCGCGGCTGGTGCAGCGAAGGAAAGGCACTACTTCGGCTGCAAACCCTGTGTGCGACATATTAGGTGCACTGCCAAGCAGAACCCTTGCATGGTCGCGAGCCGAGCTGCCAGCGCAAGTATGAATCTGTGGGCTCTACCGTGGAAATGCCTGAGTGTGCTGATGCGAAGACATGCAGAGGGTGTTGGCAGTCCGTTCTCATCGAAGCTCTGCTCCACTTCATGCCAGCAATGCAAGCAAGCGTCGCTTCAGAATGAAGATTTCATAGGCATCACTGGCATATTTGCCTGACCCGAACTGAGGGCTGGATGGCTTATAGTGCTTACATCTCTGAGCTTTCTCTGGCTCTCTCCATCTCATCACTGACCGCATTCTGGTCCCGAGACGCTGGCCAACGCCGTGAAACCTCACGGCCAAGAGGCAGAAAACTCACCGGAGAATGAGACGGCTCTAATCCGCTTGTACAAAAGCTGGCCTTCGCACATGCTCCAAGGATATGTTGCCGTCTGCTTCTTTTTGCGCCTTGAGGAAGCTCCGAACTGACACTGCATCGTGAGCACCGGCTGTCAGAAATCTGCCTCCAGGAATTCTGTACTGAAGCGACGAAGCATCCGAGCCTCGAGAGGGTACACTCTCTCCCTTGCAGTACCAGCAAGGGTTTCCAGACTCTGATGAGATGCTACAGATCTTGATTGGCTCCGACCCGGCTTGGGTCCTGAACTTTGCATCACAAGCAATGCCGGTAAGACTCCAAATGTTGCTTGATCACATATGCGCTGCCACTCTTTACCCTGCAGACGTCGCGGTTTACGTCGATGCGACTCAGAGCAATGCTCGCTTTCGGTGAAGGCCAAGTGGAAGAAAAATCCTGTGGTGGCCGGCCCAAGCGCTGCATGGAGAAAGGCAAGCCATTGCCAACTGGATGCTGACATTCATTCACCACTGCCAGAGGACTTTTCGAGCGGCTTGGGGCTTAAGGAAACTGTGACAATGAATGCAAAGATGCTTCACAACACCGAATTACTGGGGGAAAGACGAATCTATCACACTTGTCACGTGTGGCGGTGTGCCTGTGTAGAACATCAGGCGCTGTGGCCAAAAGTTCATGTGGGCCTGCAAAGCAAGGCAAGCATGTCATGATGCTTCTACATTGCAGCTTGAGCTCAGCCGCCTGGGCAAATACTCAAGAACTCCGGCAGAACTCGGTCCACCGCCTTATCGGCAATTGAACTGCCATCATGAAAGACGACACATGCAACGTCATGCAACGTTCGGCACACAGCTTAGCCTCTGAAATGCTGTCTTCTGGCCCTCCGAAACAACGGAGGACACGCTGTTCCGAGGATCAGGCAAGCCGGCCCGTTTTGTTGAGTAGGACACAGGTAGCCTGGCCAGGACAGCAGTCCACCAAGAGTATGCGGCAAAAATCGGACCATACCACTGATATTAACAAGTAGCAGTGGACGGTTAGATGGCATATTGCCGTGTGGTCGAAATCACCGGTGTAGTGAGCGAGCGATTCATCTACGTAAGCCCAGTTCAAGCATAGAGTACCCGCAGGCGTCGACCGAACATCTCACGCTGCGACTTTGATGCCAGCGTTAGCGAAAAAAGCTACGGCTTTGTGCTGAGAGGTGTTGTTTGGAGGCACCAGCAGCTGCCAGGCGTTGTCTGCCAGCAGCTCCTCCACCAGTCCAAAAGGACTCTCGAAGACCTGGGCCGCTCCGAAAAATCACGGGCGCGTCCAAGCGAGGCCCAGCATGCTGGGGGCTGGGACTTGCAACCGAGTCCTTGCGCAAAGCAACACTAACACTTGACTGGGCATGCCAGCTTTTTCGGAGTAGATGCCCGCTTGGTCGCAGCTCTCGAGGCCTTCTGGGGCTTTGCAGCTGCTCAGCTCGGCGATCTTCCACTAGCTGAGAGGCTTAGATGTTATCATGCCGAGTGGACTTCTGCCGCCCTGTGGCATTAGACTGTAGGCGCTCGTCCCTCAGTTCAAGTTCAGACCAGAGCCAGTCCATTTGGCCTGAGTTGCGAGGTACTTGACGGCATTGAGTTGGGCAGCAGCCAACATGTTCGGCATGCCGCGGTGGGTCGACCACACCAGCGTTGCGACTGGGGAGAGGGTAGCCTGTAGTACCAGTACCCAGTGTAGCCAGAGCCAATCCTTCATTCCGTTAGAGGTCGAAGGTCGTTGCGGCGGTAGTCAACCAGGGCTCGAAATGCCTCTGCCTTTCAATAACTTCGCAGCATTTTTCAGCAATCCATCGCACTGTTGCCAGAATCAAAACCCCGCCTCCGTTGCCGAAAGGGTCCAGCTTTGCTGGCCTGTGGGGGATCCGCCCTACTTTTGGCGAGCAATCCCTGCTTCCCTGCCCTCTCCCATGCCTTCTTCAGACCGAAGCCGCAGCTCGCAACACTGCGACGTGCTGGGGCCTTGGACATGGGCACTCGGACTTGGTCCCCAGCACATGCCAAGCTCCTTTGAGGCCCCGGCGTGTGGAACCCCAGCAACGGCAAGCGAGGCACCAGGATGCATCCGCGTTCTCAGGGCGAAACAAGGCGAGGGACACGAGACGGAGACTCCAGCCACATCTCTCAACATGCTCGTCTGGTCCTCTTCTGGCAGTTCGTGTAGAACCTCATCAGCTGGACCATGTTTTGAAAGTCTCTGAGTTCCCTGAGTCTGCTAGCGGCCTGCCGGTTGCTGGACGATCTGAAGTACGACGGCACCTGGGTGGTCCATGAAGATGCTGACGATTGGACGATGTATGTTGTATCCCAGCATACCAGCAACAGAACTTGCAGACATCTGGTCTTTTGTTCCCAGCTACTTGTACGACTACCGCATGCCTGTGCAACGTTGCCCTGCAAAGCACCACAAAACGTCCGACAAAAACCCTCCACTGGTCACTATCTTTCGGAGTGTTCACAGGATGTCGACACTGTGCACCTGCTACGCGACCACTTCCTAATAAAGGCAGGTCTGAAAAAAGATTTTGCGTGTACCTCTGCGTGCAAGATTTGCGCGACAGAAGAGGCGGCGCAGGAGCAGGGCGGACACCCACGCAAGAGTCACAAGATGCTAATTATGAGAAGCCGGTGACCGTCTTGAAGTACCAACTCAGGCAGAGCAGCCCAATCCAAGTAGGCCACAGTGCTGACCGCGGCAGGGCGCAGTTTCCTTGCATCTGCGTTCACGGCAGGAAACTGCTTGCTGTGGCTGCCGAGAGGCAAAGTAAGTGAGAAGATCAACTTGTTCATGGCCTGAAAGTCTGCTTCGAGTACTACATGCACAGTTGCAATGCAAGGGAGGAGTCCAAAGCGTGGAGGGCAGGTGCCGCCTGGTTTATCTCGAGCTCGAGGTGCACCGGGCTCGTTGGCGGCGGCGGCCAGGCGATGGGTGGCGGAAATCGGTTCCTTAGTCAAGGAGTTCCGCGACGAAACTCTTGCTGAAGATGCAACCTGCCTGCACACCTCGAGCCAGCGAAGGCAAACAGAGTGCAGGCGTACCTGCAGCAAGCACAACCAAGCCTCACAGCTAACGGTGTCATGCTTGGACATCTGGGACTCTGACGCGGCTGCCCGACATCCTAAGGTGTGTCCAACCCAGCAACAGGCTGCAGTCAGGCAGAGAAACACGGCGCAACGCAGCCAGGTTTCGAGAGAATTAGCTGAAGAACTTCATCATCCCCATCTCCTGCTGAGCCTTCACCACTGAAAATCAAGACATTGCCGCGTGCATGCTCGGCAAGTTCTACATCTTCAATCGCGACGGGCTAACCCCCTCACTCAAACCGCGCCTGTGGCCAAGAGCGGAACCGACATGTCTGTGCTCAGGAACGTGGACTTGGCGGCCATCAGCCATGGCTACAACCGCACAGTCGCATGCTCAGCTGACTCAGACGTAGATGGGATTGTGTAGTCTGCGACATGTCTCTAGGATTGAACAGCATGCTGTGGAATTTGCACGAGGATGCCAGTGCTGGGAATCCGTCTAGACTTTTTGGCAAGTGTCGTTGACTTGACAACAGACTTCTGACCTGTGTTCTAAGCTCTGCAGTGTCCGTTTTGCCTTTGCTACTGCCCGGGAGCATGAACGGACGTTCCTCAGCCCCGAATGGCGTATGCAACGCACTCGTGTGGACCCGGGCGTACAACTTCGCCCAAAATGATGGTACCCGTTCCCACAGGAAGGCATCCTGCCTCGCGGTGAGGAGACAATTTGCTACCACCGAAACCAATGCACCGATACCATGGCAGACAACTGATCATGGATTGGACGGGTCTGCCGTGCGTAGCTGAGAAATGCTTCGCCGTGCCAATTTGCAATGCGTACCACGCAGGCTCTGATGCGCAGCACCGGCTTCACGGCAGCATGGCAAGCACATTCCCAGCGAAAAATGCAAGACCTTGCAAATGTTTGGATGGCATGAGACGGACGAGGTGCAACCAGAAGTGACCGACGGACCCGAAGAAGGAATCGCTCAGGCAGACCAACGGCAGACCTTGTGGTCCCTTTTCCGGTTGCAGTGCTCGCCTGCGAGACTTCGACAAACGCCGAGCAGGCTTGCCACCGAAAGTAAGCATGGAGAAGCCCGCTTCAGCACCCTTGTTCCCTTGGTGGAGTTTGAGCTTCCGCCGAACTACCTCGGGAGGGAAAACGCCTTGCAACGCTCAGCTATGCAGGGTTGGGCAGGTCTAGAAAATTGGGAGCTGAGGGATGAATGATGATGAATGCTGACAGCTGCATCGAATCTGGATCTGCTTAGCCTTCTACGGCTGGCACGCTGGTAGGTGCAAAGCCTTGCTGGCATTACGCCGCGAATCCCTCTTGCATGTAGCGGTTGGCGACACTGCTCAGTTCATCCATCCTCAGCTTTTCAATAGCCGGCGTGAAGGAGCACTGTTCTCGTGCGATGGCTTCAGTCATGCAGCAACAAGTGTCGATTGGCCAACTGCCACGACCCAATATCTTCAACCCCAAAGCAGTCCAAGCATCAGTTGCGCTGAGCTTTGACTCAAGGCCCCATCTGTAGCGGAGGCAGCCGCCGAAAAGGTGGTCGCATCCGCTGCTCTGGGCATGGAGGTTGGTTGTGTTAGTGCGCACTTTAGTGCTACGCTTGGGTCAAGTTGCTGCGCGAAAAGGGCCCTTTGGTTCAGACGCATGGGCTGTGGGATACCGTGGGCATCCAGCCGAGCCAGGGAACCCGGGACCCGTACTCAAGCGTGGCGTGTGCAGACTCAACATGCCTGTTCGGAGCCAGTCTGAACTACTTCAAACACAAACTGACAGACTTCCCAGCAGTATCCAGTACTGTATTTCTGATACAAGTAGCTGAGGAGTTGCAATACAGCAAACAAAACCTCGCATCTCGACGAAAGCGACTTTCCGATGAATCGAAGACGCTGTCAACTGTCTGCTGAATTGACAAACTGCTGCTACATGAAGCTTCTACTGAGCATAAACTCGGCCTTGCCAGCAGCAGTGGCCGAAGAAGCTGGTTGGCACGGGCCCACTGCCGGGCAGCACCAAGCGTACCTGCAGCTGCCTCGGTCTGCGTCGGCTGGCACACTTAGGAAGATGCTTGGCTTTCAGACTGGCACCTCGCAAACATTCATCCAAAAAAGGGGCATGATCGAAGGCCATTACAGATGCTGGGACGCACATACAACTGCTGCCTGGCCACATTCAATGTCACCGCTGTCTTTTCCATGTCGCGGTCGGAAAGATCCTTCAACCTGAGACGGCTAGCCGGCTAGCATTGCTCGCGGAATGACATCTTGCCTAATGCCGTCCGGGCGCAACTGTTCTGCCTCTCGCCAGAGCATCGGTGTCTCGCAGGTGCTGATGACAGCCTGATGAATCACGCGGTGGCTTCAGTGCTTTTGCAGACACCATTTGCCCCAAGCGACGCTGTAGAAGAGGACATCGTACTGCAAGCTTTCAATCTGCATCTCTGTCATCCACTGCAGGCCCTGCTGCCACTTCTGCGCTCTGGAGCACGCGCCAATGGCTGCTGTGTAGGTTATCGCCTCAGTACACCAGTGCAAGGTCTAGGCCGGTCCGGGCTATTTCCGTTGGCTACCAGAATCGAAGGAGACAAGCTGCGTTGGCTTCGGCTCGAGCACCGGTAAACATTGAAAAGAGATGCAGTGCTTGGTGAGGCTGCGTACAACGAACGCAAGTGCTCATCAGGCTGCTCATCGTGACGACATCGTCACGGAGCTGGATCTGCCGCAAGTCTGAGAGCAAAGAGAGCGCCGCCTGCCAGGCACCTCCCTTCTCGCATGTCGCCAGGGCCGCGTTGTAAATCACTAGATTTGGTGAAACCCGGATGCTCTGCAACTCTGCCAGTTGTAGTATCGCATGCTGCCAACATCCAGATTTCTTCCAGGAATCAATTGCTGCTCCAAAAGTGACAACGTCAAGTCTAATTTGCTTCATGTGCATGTCGGACAATAGGAGGACGACTGCTCTCCATGGGCCGCTCTCGCCGCAAGCGCTGATGGTGGCATTGTAAATCACTGCATCGGCTTCGATCCCTTGGATAGTTGCATGCTTGCCGACATTGCTGTCCACACTGGCCATGACTAAGATGCTGTGTTGAAGGAACAACTGTAACTCTCAATCTGATGCTCTGAACTCCTCATATGCTGCACGCTTGTGTTTTGGAATACGCCTGAAAATTCACATAGATCCCGGATGCAATGAACGCGCCTGCAAACAAGGCTTGCAGCCTTGGCACGGCCCTGCTCCACTTCTGACAGCAGCGTCAGTGCCTCGCTTCAAGACATGCTACCTGCCAGTCTTGTCCAGATGTCTCCAAGCCTGCTTGAATGCAGGTTCATAGATGCCGCCAGTTTCTGGTTTAGCCAAGACGCACGTTGCCATTGCCCACCCGTTTCGCAGGCAACAATCACTGCACTGTAGGCGTGGACGTTCCTCACATGTGACCCCGAGCACGTTGGAGGGACCATGCAGCTGGCATGTTGAATCACATCTATCTTATGAGGGACCTCACGTGCAGTCCCACAGCATGTGTCGTTGTTCGGCTGAAGATGGATTTGTCACGGGTGCAGCTCCCTTTGCCTTCTGCCCTCCGAGCTTCGCTTGCACCTTCGTTGCTTTGAGCTCATGGAGAAGATGGAGGGCTGCCTTCCAGCAGCTCTCCTGGCTGCAGTCACGTTTACAAACGTTCACAGTTTTGATCTAAGAATCTAAGTGACTGGAGGCGGCTTTGCTCGAAAGATCTCTGAAATGGAGGTGTCTTGCTGTCAAGCTTCAAACTCGCAAGCACTTATGGCCGAAGTGTACATCACCACGTTGGGCTCCAGTCTGTGCTCCATGAAACGATCCATGACTTGCAGTGTGCCACGCCAATGTGTGCCTGTCATTTGCTTTCACCGGCAATGGAAAGGGACATGACATGCAACTCTGCCTGCCTTTGACGCAGGAGCTCATTGCAGTGCAGGCCGTGACCACGTTGGCCTGCAGTTGGATTTCTCCGAGGTGTTTGAGCATGGCCAGAGCATCTTGCCATCTGCCCATCTTCTCCATGGAACTCATGCCGGCCCCATGGACGAAAATATTGCTCCGCCGGAATGCAGAAGCGGCACAAAGTTGGAGAGCCCGTTCCCAGATCTTGGCCTTGCCACAGGCGTTCACTGCTACGCTATGAGTGCCGGCGGTTCCCTGCAGGTTGAGCTTGCCAACTTCGTGGAAGATCTGAATCGCTGCTGTCCACTGCACCTGTCTTGCACAAGCTGATAAGTCTCGGTTCTTGGTGTGGATTCCAAGCTCGGTCATCTTCTGGTTCACAGTCTCGCGCAGCAAAGAATCTTTTTGCCATCGCTGGCCACATGCCGTGGCATTGTCTTGTAGAATCGTAGCACATCTTTCCGGGTCCTGGCCACCCTTAGGGGTCGAGACCCTGCATAGTGTTGGCCTCCCTCTCTTTTGAGCTTAGCAGCTTTGAACTGCACCACGAGGCGGTGCTCAGCTGTCCAAACGGCTCAGGCGCGTCCCGCGGCCGCCGGCCGCATGCGCTACCACGAGCGTGGCACCCGGGTTGTGAGCTTTGCAGGTCTGGGGCTTGGGGATGCCGGGGGCTGAGGAGCGGATATGTGGTTGTTCCCGTCCAGTGTGGCTCTCTTTATGGCTTTGCTTCTTTGGACTTGAGCACAAGGCCATCCCGAACTTGCATGGTGTCGCAGCCTCAAGTGGGTCATGTTTGAAGATGTGTGGAGTGCAGGGTCCAGGGGGTTGGGGGGAGCTCCTGGCCGCTTAGACGGAGAAGCAAGCTTGCTTTTGAAGTGCTTTAGAAGTATATACTTTGGTGCACCTGCACGGAAGTTTTCCGCAAGGAGCTGCCGTAAGGTTTTGACAAAGTTTCAAACAAAATCGAACGGATGTATCCGTGTGGAAGCAGGCGGCATACAAGTACTTAGTTGCGTTGTGGTACCGTCTGTTTTGGAGGAGGCGGGAGGAGACTGTAAACCTGGACGTGTTTTGACACTTCCGCGCATATATCCTCCTTCCCTCCCTCCTGCTGAGCTTGCAGACCCCCTGGCTCCAGCGGAAGCGCCAATCATGGGCAGGTGCCTCTGTTGAGGCGGTGCTCGACCTGATTCTGGAAGGACCTCTTGTACTACACAGGACGAAGTTCAAGTGCTGAGTCTCCAGCTGTAAAATCTTCCATGCCTCCCGAACAAGGGTATGTCTTCGTGAAGCCCCGCAACTTAATTTCGGTCTAACAACTAACATCACTGGTGGCATTTGCACCGCTGGGGCAGCGAACGCATTTAGCTTCCAAAACACTCCAGTGCCTGGCGACTTTGGCCAAGCACGGCACCAGAAGCTGCGTGGAAAACGACCTCAAAAGGACACGGAGAGAGAGAGAGAGAGAGGTGCTTGCTAGCAGCCTACCCACCTGCCCACCATTACCCACCCAGCGACCGACCCACACATACACCTACACATATGCATACATATTCAGATTCAACTTCGTATGCAAGTTTGCATTCATATACATACATTACATACACGACATACATTACATTCCATTGTGCTGCGTACATGCATGCATGCATGCATGCATCATGCATACATCCATTCATCAATCCATCCATCCATCAATCCATCCGTCCATCAATCCATCCACCCATATAGATATATATATATATATATTTTCATATACCTGTATTTATGCTTATATTCAACCTTACATCGGTACATGCAGATGTATATGTGTCCTTGATCAGTCTTCCTATCTGTACCTGACGTGAGCCGAGCATGTAACATAAACAACAAAAACATCTCTGCACACATGTACACGTACTCTCTGCGCAAACTCTACAAGTACCCGCAATGCAGGCGAAGACTCAATTACATCAGTTTGGAACCAAGATGCAGCAGATAATTAATGCAACAACTCAACAACCTCGTCTTGAACATATTCTGTGCAATATACGTCATGTGCGAACGAATGGACACACTTACCGATGAGTTTCGAGCCGCTCCTCCGTGCGTGGCAACCTGCTTTGAAGCTGAGTGCGTGGCACACCAATATGGCGGTTGCTGCGATAGCGCCAGCCTTGTCTAGGGTCGTCACTGGTACTGCTGCCAGAGGCTGTGCGTCATAGTCATACACTGCCACTTGGACTGGTGATATCCGCTTGCACAACCTCCATTGTGGCCTCGCGCTGAGGCCAGCCAGACGGCCTGGTGGCAGCAGGGCCGGCGCAGCTTCGGCTCGGTCCTATCGAGGCTGGATTTGATTTCCGGCTGACACCATTCTCGTAACTGCATACGTATACGTGTAACCCCTGCCCCATGCCAACAAGCGTCCTGAAACGCCCGAAGCTGTCGCGCAGGCTCGTAATCGCGGAAGTAGCACAAGTCCGAACAAAGGTGCCTGCGCATTGAAATTGCTTAAGACCTTGATTTTTGGGGCGAGATGGGCTGAAGGCTGAAGGGTATGCGGAGTCGCTGTTCCAATCGTCATTGTCAAATGTGGCCCAGGCTGAACTGTCCGACAGGGTCTTTGTGCCGTGTCTCATGCTGCCCTACACACTGAAAGGAATGCTTTAGCCATGACGCAAGCTTTGACATAACTATAGCTATGCTGCAGTGCTCAGAGTCTGCTGCTTACACTACACTTGCTGATTAGAAACATCGGAAACGGCTCATGCTTTGTCATTGTCAGAAAAGCGACCAACATCAAGCTCTCTGGACCTGGCTTTGAACTGCACGGCCACAGGCCCGGACTGGGCCATGTTGTTTGGCCGTGCTGGCAGAGTGTATATTATGTTATGTCCTGTGGCAGAAAGCCCCGGCAACAAGCCACGACCGATTTGTTCCAGCTGTCTCAGCCAATGTTAGGACGTACACACACACACACACACACACGCACACACACAGAGCTACGACTGGAATGACTGGAACGCGAAGTTCGCCTCGCCTGGACGATCCACTTTGCCGGAAATGCGCACAGCGCCTCATTGCAGTGGCAAGCTGACGCAGGGTTGGCGGAGCAACGAGCCGGGAGGACTTCCGGAGCTCATCCAGGCTGGCCGGCGGAGGAAGACGCAAGCCCTGCACACACTCTCTGACATCTGGCGTCGACAGCAAACGAGCTCAACTGTCTATGCAAAGGCCGAAGGCCATGAACTTGTTTCACGACATCCTGCACTTGCACCGCGAGAGAATCACTGGGCTACAAGCCTTCAGGGGATCCTGCAGTGCGAGCCTCTTTGGAAAATGCCTCCTCCGACAGCTGGGAGGCGGGTCCAGGTGACCTTGATACCAAGAATGACTCCTACAACCACAAGTCACAGAGACTTATTAAGACAGCAAGGCTGGGTCGAGCGCAGAGTCAGAGCAGGGTGTGGATGCGGAAGTGAAATGGCCTGAAAGCGTGCCGTGTGCTTCGGCGTCGACCAGCAAGCGCCGAAGCCCCGTTGCCTCTAGGCTGCCTTGTCCGCGACGTTCACACCAAGGACACCCCGGCAAAAAGCGAGAGGCTGGCAGCGACAGCGGGATGGGTCAATCGAAGCTTCAACTCGCTTCTCGGAAGTGCCTTGCTTGGCGGCCCCGTGGCCGCAAAACAGATCTTCGACGTGGTCTCCGAGCTGTGACCACTCGAGCTCGAGCTCGGGCTCAATACGGGCCCCAACCTTTCGAAAGCGGATGTCGCGGGGGCGCGAGAGGGTGGTGAGAGTGCCGAGGCCGGAGCCTTCTCCACGAGGACATCCTCCGACTCCGAGGAATCCAAAACCAGAGCCTCTGGAAGGGCACGGGGCAGGCAGGATCAGGCAGGTCTTTTATGTCTTTTGATGCCTTTCCCGAGGTCTCTTCCCTTTGCCTCACGAGCCACGCTTTCCGTCTTTCGCGCCTGGGACCAGCACATACTCTGAAGTTTCAATGCTCTCCCCAAGCCGCCCTGGCCTTCGCCAAGCGCTCTTCTCCTAAACGTGCACGTGGGGATACTTCGGGTTGGAGACGAAAACAGCGAGACTGCAGGCTACAAGTCAGCGGCCTTCGCGGTCGACGTGAGCTCCTCTCTTCGCCTGCCAGGGTCTTGCCGGGTATAGAACCGCGCGAAGTATCGCGAAAACGCAAGGGTTTTGTATCATGGCCGAAGGAAAACTGATGAAGCGCTGCGATGAGAGCGCTTGAAAAAAGCTGGACCGTGCTTCTGGCAGTGCTGCAATCCAGCTGGTGGTAATGCAAACATCACGCTCAGCCGGCCGATGGTGAGACTCAGATCTCACCACTGATGTCAGTGCAGCAGCAAGCGTGTGGGAGGGCTGGGAGCAGGCTTCCTGTGTCCAGCCTCCCGCCCGTCTTGTCCGGGCTGAAATTCAGCCCGCGGAGTCTCATGCCAGTCCTGTCCCGTCTACTCCTTGGGCATTTCGACTCTCAGACCTCCGAGGTGGTTTCTGTCCGTGTCGCACACCTGGGCGGGGTTTGCAGAAATTACCTCTGCATGGGGGACTTACTAGATGCTCTCAGAGAATCTCGGAGCTGAATTTCCTGCTTGCAGGTAGGCTGCGACTTCTAGACTCGCCATCGTCGTCCGAGCCGTTCCATGCTGTTTCAGTGGCCGCTCGCTCTGTCAGCCTGGGTTATTTCAAGATGAAGCTGCAACTGATGACACAAACAATGGCAGCCTCTTCACGGGCAAGCCCGATTCGCATGAAGTTCCCCGAATCTTGGACGGGCCTCGATGCTGGAGTTGCTTGTTGAAGAGCTCCTTGGAAGTCCCAGGCCGGGCCACGTCCAAGACTTCTGTTACTGGTAGCTTAAATCGATCAAAACTCCGCCAGCTGCTGCGGCGTGGTGGCCTGGTCCAGGCGCTTGTCCTGCGGCAAAGCGCCAGAGCTGCGCACCGAACGAAACCGTTGCTCCTGGCCTCCCTCTTGCGGATGAAACGAGGGAAGCGCAGCGAGAGGCCTCTCTTCGGATCCACCAAACCTCTGCGATGCATGCGAAGTTGAATACGCACACACCACTTTGATATAAGCCAGGCACCCTTTGCTGCCAAGTGCTTTGGAGAGATGGTGATGTCCTCGGTTCAGTGAAGTTGAATGCGCTGGACTCGCACTAGCAGGCGTAATCGTGCCAGTAGGAGTCGTCGTCGGTGCAGTGGTAGTGGCGGTTGTGGTGCTGGTGGTGGTCGTGGGTCACCGTTTTGGGAGGTGGTGGTGGGAGGAGGAGGAGTAGAGATACCAGTGACATAGCAGCAGCAGCAGCAGCAAGATTGCCCATGTGACTGGGGCTCCTGCAGCTCCCCGAATCTCCCACACTTCCTGGGCACATGGCACGCCACCGAGCGCTGGAGCCGGAAATGGTGCCTTTGCTTCGGAGGTGGCCAAGGCACAGAAGGCTGGAACCAGAACTGCGGCTGCTCCAACGTCTCCACTCCTCCGGCCTCAGCTTGTCTCTCCACAAGCGCATATGGTGCGGCTACGCGTGGCTTTTGGCTTGACCCTCCCTCCGGCCTTGGACCGGAGCTGCATCCCGGCCAAGCCTGTGCACATGATCGAATAGGCCTCAACTGTGGCCTTCCCAAAAGGATCTGCCTTTGCTCGCCGGCATGTCGTCCTGCAAGGTTCAAACTGTTCAGATATATCGAGATGTCGCAGGGTCCTACTGATGCCTACTTTGCCTGCAAGCTCCACCTCCTCCTCTGCAGCTGCACTCTCTGCGCTCTCCACCTGCCACTTGGAACTGCAAGCACAAGTGCCTGCAACTTCCCCTACGACCCCAGCACTTCAAGTTTCAAGGCGACCTCAACTTCATCCTCGTCTGCATCTTCACCTTAAGCAGTCATCACTCACAGCCCATGTCACATCACGGTCTTTGAGAAAGAAGGCCGGCCTTCGTCCTCCGCCGCCTCCGCCTCGGTCTCGGTCTTGGCATTTCCGACGTGGAGCTCCCGGCCCAGGTAGCGAAGGGTGTTCTCCTGCCCACGCGTGCTCTCTCCGTGCAGCGTCCTTTCGGTGCCTGTAAGGCTGAAGTCCTTGTAGAACTGATCGCTGAAACCAGACATCACCCGGCAGACCGAGCCGAACGTGCCTTCCTCGGGATCGTACCTCATGCTGACACGATCTCATTTTCCTGACGGTCTTTCGGACCTGACCACAAACACAGCTCACAGGGTTTCGGACGTGGCCAGCAGCCAGGGAGACACCCAGCGCGATTTGCGGCCGCTGCCGCGCCAGCCGCCTATGGGGATCCTCGGCTGGCAGCTACATGCCTTCACCGGCTAGCAGATACTTCCACGACCAGCTCTTTACACGCAGGAAAAGATGGAAGCTTACCTTCACCACCAGCTTTCAAAGTTCGAGCAGCAAATCCAGTGAGTCACCCATGCTCTCAACATAGTCCTCAGCAGCACGAGAATCCCACACGAATGCTCAGGCCCTCTTGGCGATAGCTGAGACCACATGCCTTGAACCATTCTGCCGGGCGGCCTTCTTGAGCTTCAGCCAGCAGTCGGACCTCTTTGTTGACGGCTCATAGCCTGAATCCAAATGCTTTACCTCGGCATGCTGAAGCTGCAGCGGGCACCGGCCCTTCAAAACTCTGGCCGTGCAGATAGACGTGCAGGGAGCCGTTTCATGAGACAGCACCGGCCAGGCATTGCTGCTGAGATCAATTAACAACAAGTGCAATCGCAGAACAGGCACCATCAATCCCTCGCACGACATGGCCACGGATCGTCGCAGAGCCGCCTGAGAGCTACACCGAAGCTGGGTCAAACGGACATTGGTGGCAGGCTGGCAGGCCTCGAGCGTCGCTTCAGCTGAGCCCGTGTTGCCCTGCCAGGCCGCGCTGCAAGCAGTTTGGAAACCGTTTGCAGAGTCGGATGCGCGCCCACCTCCAAGTCCTCTGCTTCGGCGTAAGCAACAAGATCCTTCCGGCCGGAAGACGTGCAGGAAACCATAAAGCGCTCTCCGATTCGACTCATCGAGCCAGCCATGAGTCACGGCCACGAGGCAACCCGCGGCAACCCTTCGGCCTCCACTTCTGCAAAGCTTTCTTTGAGTCTTGCTCGGCGCTGCTGAAAGGGCAGCGAGATCAAGGGCTCCTCGCTAGCTAGCAGGAAGGTTGCTTCGGGTGTAGGGGGAAGCGGATCTGCAACACATTGCTACATTTCTGTACGAAACTGCACTGGCCTCCGCAAGAAAGAGGAGGTCGAAAAGAAAGACTTTAACCTTTGAAGCCACGCGGTTCTTCCTATAAGCTATGGTCACGAACAAAGGGCAGCAGTAGAGGCGGCTCAACACGATCAACATTTCATCCTTTTCAGCCTTGCCGCTGCCACGGATGTCGTCGCAGCATTGGCCTCCGTGACGTTCCTCGTCTGCAGTGATCCACCGCCCTGTTCGTGGGAACTCTCAGCTGCCGATGCGCGGGAATTACAGGCCAAGCCGCTTGCGCTTTCGGGTGGCCAGTGACTGGAAGGCCTCAGCCAAACAGAAGCGGCCGCTAACTGGCGCGGAGTTCGTCATATCTCCGCCAGCTTGACCCGCACATACTGCAAACTGCCACAAACAGCTACATACACCATGCGTCGAGTGAGTGACCATGCAGACACGGCACAGCGATTTCCACCTTGTTGCCATCCTTTCTTTCCAGCTCCTTACTTTCTCCCGGACCTTCCTGCCGAGGCCAACGATCCGAACATGACAGGCTCTTTTCTCACTCTTGCCTCTGTGTTCTCCTTGGGCACGACAGCAACCTTACGGACTGTCAGTCCACGAAGCACTCAACTGAATACTGCAGGGAACTCGACTGTTGAGGTTTATATCATGACAGGCAACGATTTCGGCATCCAACACACAGGCTGCCTGCGTCCTGGAGGATTTCAGGACCGCCTTGACCACATCTGGATACCTGAGTCGTCGAGGACATCGACTTCGCATGCCGGAACGCTGCATCCGCGGTGAAATACAGAGTTGACAGGCTTCAGCATCGAGTTGCTTGTAGGTCATGTCATCCAGCTTCCGCGAAAAAATCTTGACGCGACCTTTGCAGAACATGCGTGCGGATGGGTGGGCTACAATTCCAACTTGCACATGCTTTCAACCCCAGGCCAACCGCATGATTGGGACGGGATGGGAAGCTAGTGGCTTTTTTCTAAGCCAGTGCTTGGTCGTCGAACAAGTGGCCTGCGGGAAGGACGTGGATCTGGGCGCGTTGACCATCGTACCTGCGCTGTCATCCAACCTGCAAGATTTCCTGACTCAGCTGCTTCAACTCAGCGTTGCGAGCTGATAGTAAGGAGACCATATTATAGGTGGTGTCATAGTCAGACACCGACAAGTCCCTACGCCTGCTTGCTCCACCAGCCCAGCATGGGGCTTGGCCATGTTCGTTGTAGAACCTAGAAATCAGGCCCTGTTTCCTGGGATGGTTCACAACTTTGTTTCCCCATGTCAGCGGCGCTGCGCCAGGAAAAGCCGGCCCGTCGAAGCTCCACACCAAACGTGTTCACAGCACAGGACAGCTTCACAGGGTGGCTCGAGTAGCTTCTGAATGCAAACAGCCCCATGGGTTGGCGCTCCCCTGCAAGATTCGGCAGAAACCGAGGGCACTTGAACTCGGCAGAAAGCATGATGGGACTGGTTGCCTGCAAGGCATGGCCGTCGAGCTTGGACATTCTGCTTCTGGGATCGACGGGTTACTGATGTGATGATATGGCAAGGAAAATCAAGGCGGCTGGTGGTTCTTCGACAACTGCCAAAGATCAGAAGAATCATCACATTAAACAAGTAGCAAGAAAATCGTAACACGTAACAGCTTCATCCCCAGGAGCCTGCCCACTGCGTGGCACCGATTTCAGGATTCGCTTCAGAAGCTCCTGGATGGAAGTGCAGGCCTGAGTGGAGCTGCAACAAGCCGTAACTCAGATAGCAGTTCAGAAGCGTTCATGTCCCAACCATTCCGAGCCTTGGCCAACATGGGCTGCATGGGGACGCCCAAGTGTAGAGTGCACCTTCGTCTGACGCCCTGGAGAGCAGCAATGGATGCAAACGTGTAGTTGGCGCCCACGGCCGCAACGTGGCAGTGACATGACCACACCAGAGCTCCCGAGTTCACACAGCTGATTGCCGGGAGCCTCGATTCCGTCTTCCAGCAGTGCCTCGACTAGCGCACGCACGTCTGGCCGCAAGGCATACCCATGCCGAACCTGAACACAGCGAGACTGCAGGCCAAGGCGACCCCCAAGAACACAAGAGCGCACTTGCAGACCGAGTCTGTCACCCCATCTTCACCGGTTCAGTCTGGGAAGTGCCATACTTGATTGAAAGCACCCTCGTGACGATCCCCGACACGTCGTTGCGAGATTCTGATGGAAATCGATTCGCGGTGTGTATGTGCCATCAGCCGTCTCCGGAGATTACCAGACGAAAGGACTGTGTATGAATGTCTACCAGCGGAACAGCCAAGCCTACCTCTTCCTGCGCGGAGCGCACAGCATCGGCGGTTGCACCTTGCATGAGATATGCAACGATATTCGCTTGAAGTCCAAGATTTTCGGCCGGCTTGAGGCAAAAAGATTTAACAATCTTTGTGCAGCAAAATTCCCGAAGGTGTTTGCTTTCGTTTTCAGCAAAGCTTGAGCATGGCCAGGTCTCGGTACCTCTTCACAGTCTATCAAGATGAGGGCCTTTGCAAATGCGTTCAACTTCTCTCGTCCCTTGCCTCAGCAGATAGCACATCAGCCCAAGCTTGATAAACTCCACTTCGCTTTGGAAGTGGCTGAGCTGTCAAAGACCTATCAGGCTCACAGCTTGATGCTGTGGTTCTTCAGCTGGCTCACTCGCTGCCCACTGGCCGGCACAAGTAGCAGTCATTGAACGTGTCGAACTCCATGGTAATGATCTGCATCAAGCACAAGTCACACATAAATTGATGGCTTCGAGTACGCATAACCGGCCGAAGGCGCCTCGGGTTCGAATCCTGCTCCTTTCAGCAGTGAGAGGGCCTTCTCTCGGCCCCACATCATACCTGTGCACACAAGTCGGAGAACAGCACCTCCCGGTGTCCAGATGCAGCAGGGGCACCCAGTCCGGGGCCGTCATCGTTCATCCCTTGCGGCATGCAGTGCATCCTCAGCGGTCAAACCCGGGCAATCCTGGTCCGCTCCAAACTCCTGGACCTGCATGAGTGCTGGCACCGTGCCTTGCTTTCATCTCCAAGGGCTGCAGCATAATTTTGCGCGAAGGCACAATGAGACAGCATAGAGGAACGGCGCCATTGGGTGTGCGATGTTCTTGGCTACGCCTGGGACAAACATGCACTTGCATCGGCATCTGCAGACATGGTTTTCCGAAGCAGATGATCCTGCCTGTCTCTGCCCGGATGTCAACCATTGCGAAGTACCCATCTGCCTGCCGCTGACGACCCGTCCACTGCAACGGCCGTGTCGTCGACCGCGTCCGAACACGTTGTGCTAGGATGTGCTAGGATGCCGCCGCGCCGCCTTCAGGACCCGGCGGCACTCGCACAGGGTTGCTTCCGGCTTGGTCAGGTCATGGATGACGTCGAAGCTTGTTACCTCAGCTACTTGTACGATTGCTTTTCTGCGGCAAGTGGGCAACTCAACACAGAAGGCCTCGACAAGTGTCCGTCAAGCTGTCAAGCGTCCAAATCGAACTGCCCCGTCCAGGCCCCATCGTCACCAAAGTTTGCTGCATCGCCGCCTCGATGTGAAAAAATTGCCGTGTCGGCAAAGGATCAGAAGTTCGCTATGCAGTATCGGTTGCAAAACCAAGCCAGCTGTGCTCTTGAATCCGAGTCAACGCTTCCGGGCTCAGAGTTGCGTATGTAGGGCCGCTGCAGACAAACTTTATGTTGGACAGATTCGCGGCTTCTGCCTGCCACCAGGACTTCGGAAACCGACTCAACAGCTTGAGCTACCACAGCATGCCGCTTCGAGTGCGACTGCTGCCTTCTTTGTGGCAGCTGCTACGGATGGCGCCCACGCGTCGATCCTGGAAGCTCCGTCGGAGGGTCTCAGGCACAGCTCTCTCCCACGTTTCTCACATCTGGCAAGAGGCTTTGACGGTCAGAAGATGAAGGCCACGGGAAAGCTTACACTCAAAAAGAAACCTTTGGCACATTGCATCCGCGCGGCCCAACAACTTCGGCCTTTGGAAAGTGCTTGGCTATCCTCGGCAGAATGCAGCACAGCTTTCTGCGGCATTGCATCCCCGAGATGTCTTCGCATCTGGCCAGGCTTCAAGCAGGGAGCAGTTCCTTCACCGCAGCCCAGATCCAACACTTTCGCCTGGTACGAGAATGCGGGACTTGGGCCAACTCTGGCACAAGGCAAACCATGCTGCCAATGAGCCTCGTAGAAACATGCGTGAGCCGACTGTCGTCAGTCGTCAGTTACACTCGCTTCCAAAGCCGATGCTATGCGAGCTGATCAGGAACTTGCCACAAGTGTACTCAGAATACAATGGCAAGCCCAAACAACACACCCTTGCTTCTGCGGCACTGTGCCGGCTTCCAGCTTCTTGATGATCTCACCTCCTGGCAAACGCTTGCCAGGAACTGGAATCAGCCGACACAGGGTAGCCATGTCTAGCTGCGGGCAATCTACTTGATGCTCGAGTGACTCGAGTCGCTGACCTGCAAGCAGAGGCAGCAGCTGTGATACCAGCTGCTTCTCGTGCTTGGCATCGGCCAGCTTGCCTTTGTGAGCTGCAAAGCGCGGAAATACAACCGAAGAAACTTCCGCATGAACACAACGGGGCGAACAGGGCGGGAACAAAGATCTCAACCCCATAGCCATCGACTCGTCAGCGAGCGGCCCATCCAAGCACCGAAAGGTCCATAGCAGGATGGCCTGTACAAAGGCGCGCGACATGTTCCGGACCGCTTTAACGAGCACCCGCCATCCCCTATTTTGCTTCCCAAGGGGCGGCACTCCACCGCCCTGCTTCGTGGCGCTGACGACCTCTGAGTTGAGAGCTTGCTGCTTGAGCTGAGACACGCTCCTCGAGGAACCTCCTCAAAAGCGCATCTGGTCAAGAGCGGCATCTCCTGTGCGGACAAAAAAAACTCTATCCAAAAGACACCAGCTCCAAGGCATGCCTCGAAGTAGAGGCCCATGCCGCTCAAAGCCTGCGCCGGGCCAAGCTCCAACTCAAAGCTTCAGCCGTGCTGCCCCTGCTCTTAAGCGCCAGACTTCTTGGGTTTCCTCGGACACGTGATATTTCGGCGGAGATTCCTGGAGTGCTTCGACTTCCCCCACGAAGCTATGCAACATCAGTGCGATGCGATTGTTGGTCCCGCTCTTGATCAGTCCTCCGACAGATTAACGACTTTGCTGCAGGCTAGGACAGCCAGAATTTCCTGCAAGACGTCACGGCACGTGCATGATCGCTTGACTTCAGCACCTGACGTCTAAACCGCGAGAGTCCTCCACATATCTCTGGTTCAGACCGGCAGCTTCTGCTACAGCCGCGGAACTCTGCGGAACCTCGAAAGACCAGAGGTTCTTGCACCCCCGCGGGGGCAAAACTTTTTAGGCCCCGGCAGTGCTCAGCTTTGGCAGCAGACCTTGCCGGCCGAAAAGACCCCACGTCGCCACGAAGGGGATCTTCGCAGATCTCAGGGCCGCGACCGCTGCGACTGGCCACTCCCAGCGCCGTGGCCGCCGCAGAGCCGTTCAGCAGCTCCGTCAGGCGAGCGCTCATGGCCAGAGATGCGGAAAGTTCTGCTAGATGCCGCTTCTCCAACTGGGCTTTGAATCTCAAGGGTGTCGCGCTCAGAGTCAGAGTAGGGAGTGTGCTCCAGCAAGCTTTGGCGCTCACAGTTTGGAGTTTATCTTGGGGAACTTGAGGTGCTTCTATTGCAATCAGCCAGCTCGGTCGTGGTGCATGCTTCGCTGCAGAGTGCTCACGGGAGCTCGCGGCCCTCCTTCTCATGTTGCTCTCCCGACATGAACCGAGAGAATGCGCCTGCAGCCATGGCTGCGGCAGCTCCAAGCGCCGGGAGAACCGAGGACTCGAGGGACACGCCAGCCTGCGCAGGGGCAGGTCCAGAGCCCGAGGAGCGGGCTTTGCTTCGACAAAGTCGGAGGGAGCTGGCAAGACTGCGGCTGCCCTTTTGAGATCCCAGTAGCTGCACCATTGCACTACGTAGCTTTTGTAAGTCTCTGGAGTCTCGAGCTTGTCGACTCTTATTATCTATTGCCTGTCAGACTAGTCTTAGTTTATTTGCCAAGGAGCCGCCATATGTGGCATGAAGGTACGGACCAGCCACTTGAGCTCAGTGCCTGCAACAAGGTAATGTCAATGTCAGCTAGGGTAGCGGATCATGAGAGCCGCGAGCTGACTTGCAGCTTACATCACTGCGCCACCTTCAGCGGCACGAAGCAAGCCAACCAGTCGAGTGGTTTTGGCTTTCTCAACACCTCAGCTTCTTGCTTTGCTGCCAGCGTTAATCAAGTTCAGCATCATAAAACCATGCAAAAACCAAGTGCTGACAGCAAAGCATTCCAACTGCAGAAGCACTTGCTACAGCCGAGGTGCCTGTTCCCTGCAAATCCGCGAGGCTCAACAGTGTGCGGCGCACCGCGCCTGCCTTCGGAAAACATGCTGCCTTCTGTTTGTACAAGGTCTCCAAAGATTCTAAGACCATCGCTGCAAGCTGTGGCATTTGAATTTTGATCCAGACCTTTCACTGCTACCCTCCCCCGCCGTCAGCGGTTGTGGCGCCCGGAGCAGTCGTTGCTTGCCGCCACGCTCCCGCAGGGCCAAAGCCACCTCATGGCTACTACGTGTGACTACAGCGTGACGCACCGAGCCAGCACCCAGCTGCTACAAAATCCTGCGTGACCCTTATATACCTAAACTATGGGAACATGGTACTATACGATACTTGGGCCATGCAGAAGTTTGTGCATCAACAGTATCAGTCGATCGCTGTATGTTGTAGCAGAAACGACGAGCCGATCGAGGAACCGACTTGACCACTGTCGTGGAGCTCCTGGTAGAGGCCTAGGCCGTTCAGGCTTGACAGCCACAAGCAACTTCTCGCGACTGGCAGAGTCTTGCGAAACACCAGCTCAAGCACAGATGTTCGGTTCAGGCTTGCGAAGACGACAGAGATTACCTTACCGCTCACGCCGGATCTCTGGACAACTTCCCTGAGCAAGCTGCGGTTCATGTCGGCCTGACCACAGACCGCTCAAATGAGCACGCAAACTCACGCTACATGACCCAGATGTGACGGCGAGAGAGACCAGCTATTTCAAACCTTCGGCTGTCGCATATGCTCTCCGGGTACTTAGGTTGCTTCCAACACATCAAAGCACATCATACTTGTCTACATGTACCTCCAGTGACAGACGCATCTTCGATCGAGACTGTCTGCCTGCCACGACATGCACGTGCGACCAAAACCACCAGACCCCTTTTCAAGTGACCCAAGTCCTTGAACCCCAGCCCTTGAGCTCTGGCCTTCGAGGCACCAGTTGCCTCCAGCAGGGAAGCCTCGCAGTGTGCCACGATTCTGCACTATATCGGCTTTGGGCTTGCTTGACGTCTTAGCCACCTGAGTTTCAGCGAAGTGCTTTCGTGTCTGTCGTCATGCTCTTTAACCGATGTGAGCAACTGATGAGGCAAAGCGACCGTTATGGACTTGTGCGGGATGCTGAGAGGCCGCCCTCCTTCCACCCAGTCGGGTCGCAACCTGCCGAGTGTAAGACCGATGGATGAGGGAGGTCTGAAAGGATGCAAGCTTGAGCCTGTGGCCACCGGCTTGAGCATCCTTTGCCGGTGCGAAGAGGTAGCAGGCGGATTCCACCTGTCTGTTGGACTCGCATTGCCATGCCGGGACTCTGCCGCAAGACACCTCTTCTGCAGGTGCCGCCATAGCCAACATGACCCGGAAGGAGTTGGTAAGGATAGTGTCCTGGAGTACTGCAAGGCTGATGGCATGGGGGGAACCTCTGCAATGAAATCGCAGCACCGTTTCTTGGGTGGATATTGGCGTGAGGAATCTGGCAAGTCCAGAATTTCCCGTCTCCTTGCTCAGGCGGCTTCGGGTAGCTTCCAAAGCCTCGTGAGAACCAGGGCCAAACCGCCCTTCTCTCGGCACGCTGAGATTGCTCGGGGAGCGGCATCAAGGGCCGCAGCAAGGTGACGGTAAGGTACTGGTGCACCTTTCTTGGCCCAGCCTTGGATCGACGCTGCAGAGCTCCAGTTCGGAATGGAACTGATCGTGATCGAATTGTTCGAATCCAGGTCGCAGCCTGCTGCGCTTGCCTGGCCGTGCAGGATGGTGAGCCAGTCTCGACATCTACAGCTTTGGCTCTGGCTGTCTTTGATCCCTTCTGTACCAGCTTCAGCTCCAGGAATTCAGGAATCATCGGGCGCGAGCTGAAGCTCATGCACCGGACCGGCCCCGAAGCAGGCAGACCTTAAGACCACCTTCCCGACCCGAGCCCAAGACCTGAAATGCATGAACGAAGTCCACAGGCAGAGTGCACCGGGCGGAAGTCGGAGCAGCTCGTAGACAGGGCGGCTGCAGCGACGCTGGCGGACCAGGCTGATTCCTGGATGCTCATTGTCATAAAATCGCGGAAGAGGAGGAGGACGGTTCTGCGAACCCTTGCTATGGTCATCCCAACAATTGAAGATGCTGCTACTATTGCAGCCATGGACATTCCCACCAATCGCAATCTTCATCTAGGTGTTCTTGGAAGGTGCATTCGGAATACAATGTCGTCCCGGCCCTCATCCCTTAAGATCTGTGTGTCCTGCATTCTGTTTGTACCACAAGTCCGAGCCTCTGAAACCACTAGGGCGTTTCATAGCTGCACATGTGTTTGATATTGAGTCCGGTTCTGGCACTTTCTGAACCCTTGTCTGGTCTATCAAACCAGAGTGACTGCCCGGACTAACTGCTGTATGCGATGACCGCTTTTGGCGACTCGTCAGCCTGTATTTTGATGCCAGTGTCAAGACTCGGTGGGGACGACTATGATGCTGCTGATGGCGATGATACTGATGATGATGGCGCAAACGATGGTGCTGCTTCTATAGCAGCAACAGCAGCAGCCTACTCTTGCAAGAAAGATACCGGGGCGGGACTCGGACTCGGCGGGCGCCGCGGAGTCGGAGGCTCTGCCGAGGGAGGCTCCTCCTTGCCTCAGACTCAGAGACTTGAAAATCTTTTTTAGGCTCACCTCCATGATTCTCTCGTTGTACTGCTGCATCATGCTGCACCCATCTGCCCATGTCCCTCTGCCACGACGGCCGCAGAGTGCGCAAACCCATTTCTGCACTTTTACGGCAACTTCTCCTCCTTCAACCTTGTTCCTCTGGTTATGATGCCAGCAAAGTCCAGCTGCTGCAGAGTACGCTGAGTGACTGAGAGTGCAAGCGAGAGAGCGAGAGAGAGAGAGAGAGAGAGAGACAATGACAGAGAGAGAGAGAGAGGCAGGCAGACAGCCAGACTGCCAGCAAGCCCGCCGGACGCTCTCAAGCAAACAAAGGACCCGACATTCCGGGATCGTCGGGGTCTTCTGAAAGAACGATGCGACCCCCGACGCCTGGCCGAGTCGAGCATGCAGCATGGCTTACCCTGTTTGAGCGCTCAATCTCTCCTTGCCTGAGCACAAAGAAAAATCAAATTTTGAACATCCAGAACAGAGCGCAGCTGAGGTGTGAATTGAATCCAGTGCTGCTAGACTTCGCCTGCGAGGTTGCTGTCGGCTTCGGGCTTTGCTTGGGCCGTTTCCTCGGTCAGACAGCTGGAGGACGCCGGCCAATTTGTGCAAAAACATGCCCGGACCGTGGCAAAGACGGAGGACGTCTGTTGTTCTATGTCTTTCAAAGTATCCGGGTTGCCTTGGGGGCTGCATGGGCTGCTCAGGCAGGGCGCCGCCGCAGGCCTCACAGCTGCGCTGTGCCGGATCCTCGCCTTGGTAGCTGTCTCCGAATCTCGCACGAAGCTCGTAAGAGCAATAATCAATACTCTAAATGCTGATTCCGGTCTGGCGCCGTGGGGCCTGCAGGCCTCTGAAGAAAGGCACGAGGCACAAAGGAAAGAAAAGTAACGCAATGGGCCGTGAATGCAGAGATCCCGATCGGAGAATCGCTGCTTTCACAGAACCTTGCACTATTCGCAGCTCTCAGCTCTCGGACCTCAGGATGCGGCAAATGAGTGTGCAGGCCGGGCAGCTCCTTGGGGCTCCTGGCGGGAGCCAGCTGGGCCTATGCGGGCCCATCCGGCCTGTGACCGAAACAGCGGAGCCTGGTGGAGGCTCCGGATCCGTGAAGTCATCTTCGAGGTCAATGCAGGTTGGAGAGTTCAGGCTCCTGGCGTGGGATTCATCGGCATGTCTGAAACCGTGCTCGTTTGGTGCCCTCAGCGCGCCTGAACTCCTTCGGCGGAGCCAGGTCGCCCCCGCAGAGGGCGCATGCTTGCAGCGAAGCATCGTCGCACAGCAGCGTGCCTATTGTTAGCTGAGTCGCAAAAATGCAAACACTGGTGGTGGGAAGTGTCAAGCAATATTGTTCTGTTGGAAGCTTCACGGGCCGAGCAGGCATTTGGAATAAAGCTAACTTATAACATTCCTGAGCAGGTCTGTTCGGCACTGTCGTTGATGAACATATTCATCCTCCTGATGGCCCTGTCTACAAACTAAAACCGGCTCAGCCCGCAGCATCGAACACAAGCGCGGGGCGCAGCAGCCATAGCTGAAGCATAGCTGTAATGCGTGCAGGTCTCCACGCTGGACCCGCAGTAATCTAGATGCTGGCGATGCAGGTCGTCTGTAGCTGGTGGGCGAACATATGACGGCATTTATCATCGCACCAATGTAGGTATGCTGTAAAGCCATGTGACTTCAGAAAACATACGTTGAGTGTCCTTCGCTCTTAATGTTGTGACATGATTCGGCCAGGAGCATCTGCAAAATGATCTCATGCTCCACTCGCAGTATATGTTGCATTCCGATTCCTGGCCTTCCTACAGCAACCGTTCAAGCAAAGATCATCACTGGCCGTCTTTATCGCGCAAAGGACTCCCGGCCTCTTCACCGGCAGCCTGGCGTGCAAGGCAAGATGAGGTGCGAACATGGCCACTGTCACGAAGGATCTCCATGGTACAAGTACTAAACTTGCCTCAAGCTGCAGAATTGAGAAATGCCCGTTGCATTCTTTCCCTTGAATTGTTCAGCTAATTTCGTGTGACATGCCTCTCCCTTCCTCCGTCCCAGACCCGGGAACCCACCCACCCAGCAGCCAACTAGCCACCTGGATATGTGATCAGAAATAGAAACGAATAAGGCCGAGCAGAGAGCAATAAGCAGAAATACATGTACGAATAAAATTAGCCGGCCTCGCTCGCGCCGAAGAAGCGACTCTGGCGAGAGCACGGCTGACTCATCGCGCTAGGAAGTTCCCATAATCGCGTTCGCTCGTAAGAAACTCTGGACGTGCCGATCTCCGGGCTGCAGAACGGATACGAGAAGAGCATGACCCGATTCGACTAGAATTAGTGACTATGACGGGGCTTCATCAGCCATATTTGGTCTAGAAGGATATGGCTTGAAGAAGAAAGTGTTCAGTCCTTCGTTGAGCTGGCAAAACCATTGGCTTTGCTGAGGCGACAGCAGAACTGCGTTCACGGCAGGATCGGGCTTTTCTCACGGCCGCCCCGAAAGAGATCCCACGCCTTGGCATCAAAACTGCACTGTCTGAACTACCCCTGCAGCGGCTTATGCCTGCAGCAGCATTTCTGGCCAGCTAGGCATGTGTGCAGTCCACGCAAGAATCCTCCTGTGATGAAGCTTTCGATGTTTGATGCCTGTGTGTCAAATGGTGTCAAAAGTCTGTAGCCAGGCTGGGCGCGCAGGCAAGCCTGCAAACATTAACCTATGTTTCGAATTCGCAGGCTCTGCAAAAGGAATTTAAGCTTGGTGAACAGGCTGTGCCTGGAAATTTGCATCTCACACTCCTCGTACCGGAGACCTCGAAAGGTGCAGAACCTTTGCCATGCAATTCGGCACGTGCCGGAATGACAACTTAAACATTTGAGCAGTGCAACAGCTGTAGTGCTGGCACCGCACACAGCGCCTTTCTAACACGTCGCTACTTACATCGCTTGTCAGCCGTTTTCAGCTCCGATCACGCCTGGCCTGGGTTCTCCGCTTTCAGGAGCAACGATTTCGAAGCTGAGGCTGCTGCCAAAGCCGGTCAGCTGCGACCTGAGCGCTTCGGACGAAGAGGCGATTCCAGATCTTCTCGTGGCATGAGGCTTCGACTGCAAGCCGCTGCACGAGCCGTAGACCTAAGCAAGAGAAGATTAAAATGCTTGAGACCCTCCCAAGCGCCCTGGGTCGTCGGCATTGCCCATCATGCTTCTGGACAGAAGATCCTCCTGAACACCGGCCGGCCCCATCAAGCCCTTGAACACGTTCATGTGCGCAGTCTGAATGCCTGAGCTGGGAAACCCATCATGGTGTTGGACCTCGGTGGACAAAGGTGTGAGGGTCTTCGTGCTGGATGCTGGAGAACTGACTTCACTGGCCACAGCACATGACAGGGTGGCATTTCTCAAAACACGTCCAAGCCTCACCACAGCTAGGCAACCGTGCAGAGTCTGAGACAGGAGGTCCTGGCATCATGCTTGCTTCGGGAGTGTGGAAGAGCTCTGCTTCCGTAGCAGGTCTGGTCACACAGACGGTCCTAGTTACTAGTTGCTTCTCGGTACACTGCAGTGAAGGCTGCGGAAGCCACGGCCTGAACCTGGCCCCATGATTGACATGGACATGTGCTAGGCTCCTGGGGAATTCCACGCATGCTGGCTGCCAGCATGTCCTCCAAAAGGGCCGGATGGCTGTAGAATCTGACGCTGTCATCTTGCCGATGGGGGGTCCGAGCTGTCTTGAGTGTCCCAGCTTCGTGTACTGCAATGCACCGGCTCTCCAGAGCAAAGACGATCTCACCCGATTCACAAACAAGTCGGCAGGGCTACAGTAATTGCAGCGGAGAAGTGAGAAGGTACTTGACTGCAGGAGTATACAATCATGCGAAGTACATTCTTGTCCCTGCCATGCCCTCCTGTGGGATTCCTTGCACGCTGTTGGCGATCAAGTCCTGCAGGAATCGGGGCACAACAATGGTGGCTTAACGAGCGGCCAGCTACAATCCTCTTCATGCTCTTTTGGGCAAACACAAGGGACAAGGTTGGTGCAGCTGTCCTGCTTCGAGACGGAGGTCCCCTGCACGGACCTGGTACTAGCGCGAGTACCCGTACTTGCTTGACCCGAATGTACAGTACCCGTGGGCTCGAAAGCGGAACGTTGTCGCGTTGGTAACAGTATTAGCCTCTGTGTATGCCTGAGAGCGCGTCATGGATCTCGGTCGATCGAACACGGAGCGCTCAACCGACTTGACCTGTGGCCAGTACGGTAGTGGCATGGACGAGGCCTTTTACGACACATTCCGTGCATGTGCGGCTGAAGCACGACTTTCTCCAAGGTCTCGCAAACGTCTTTGGTGTCCATGGTCTGAAACAGCTTTGACCTTGCGAGTGCAAAACCTTTGGGACTAATCATGTCCGGGTTTGGGGTAGCCGCTTTTACCTGTTGTGCACAGATCACACGGATCATCTGGCTTGATCCCTTGGTGAGATGTGAGGATCCTCAAACCCAGGCTTTCAATGCAGATTCCACCCAGCCATGGAAGCTGGCTCTCAACACTCAGGACGCTGCGCTGAGTGCAGGAGAAGCCACGCAGCTGCGTCACGAATAGGCCGAAGCTCCTGCTTGAAGATCCAGACACAGGAAAGCACGGCAGGAACCACACCCCTACCCTGAAAGTCCTGGTTGTCGAAGTGCTCCTTCTGTGCGCAGAGCTGGAAGACCTGCAGCTTGGAGTCAACTTCGTCAGGTTTGAGAGTCATGTGAAAGCTGCATCCAATCGACTTTTTTTGCTAGCTGGCCATCGCCATTGGTATCAGGTATCATGTGGCATGCTGATGACGTCTGAACGGCTGTACAACTCAGACGTCAAAAACATTCGTGATGATCCTTGCTGCACCGTTGTTGTTCTTCTCATTAGAGTTGCTCCGTGGACATGCGAGCGGTGCGGTTAAGTCCCATCACGGCGCGCCTAGTCACAACATCCCCAAGGGCACTTGGGCACGCCCCGATCCGCGTTTAGTCACATCACCTGCATCAGAAGTAGCAAAACCCCTTGTGCAAATGGTCCGGATGTGACTAAATGTCCGCGTGCCGCAGGTAATCGTGCCTGTTTTGCACTCATGTCGCCTCGTTCAGTCACATCAGCAATAGCGAAACACCATGTGCATGTGGCCCGGATATGCGACTGTTGCTCGTGCATTTCATGAACGGCTAGGCTAAGGGCAGTGTGCACGGGACATGCTACCTGCCTACAGGATGAAGGCTTTACAGGCTTTCACATGTTCTATGCATGACCGCTGAGACACTGTTTTTCAAGGTGGGACGGACTGTGGGCAACCGGAGCAAGACTTGTGTGGACGACTTTCACAACGGCAAGAGTTGGCGACAATGGCCTGTCGACCATGCGGGTAGACAAAGTCGGAGTCTGTCACTCTGAGTGGTTGTCGCGGCGTGCAGAGATGCAGATTCATCGGGATGCGGTGTCACAAACCTGATCCTGTTTTGGGTGGGCGACAGACTCTTGAAGGCCGTCCAGCCAATATCGGGCCACTTTTGGGCGATCAGGCCGTTTGTAGAGTCTGGCTCCATTTCGGTACGCTGTGGTCGATCTGACACGATCTCTTCCACTCTGGCCTTGGTGTCCAAGCTGGGCTTCCCAAGAATCCCTTGGCCATTGAAAGAAGACTTCGCGAAGATCTGGGTGACAGGAAAGAGCACCCGTTTGCACCCAGGCAAGATCCTCATCGACGTGCCTTGATAAGGACTTGGACTGGGAATCCTTCGATGCTTTGTCTCGCTCGGGGGTGCTTGTCCCCGCGGCGTTTCGGGGAAGACACGGCCCGCTCGCTTTCTGCCATCTGGGATTTCTGCTGTGCCAAGATCCGCTCGTTGTCCTGTATGGTCTGCTGCCGTGCTTGTAAAGCAACCTCGTTTGTGGGCGTAGATCCCTGCCATGCGCGAAAGAAAATAACCGTAGTTCCTGTTACCAGGGGGACCCTGTTACAGGAACCAGCTGGTTTGATGACCTTGAGTGGATTCGAAATGTTGCACGCAACTGGTTGAGTATCTCATTGACCTGACTATTCGTGACTGTTCTCACGTCCTTCTTGCTTGATACCTTTCAATGCACTCCTCTGCACATGCTGCTGGAGCAGACTGCACTGGCTATTATCACCATCTTGAACTACTGGCTGTGACTCCTCTATGCATTGCATCCCACAACCATGCAAGAGGGCTTCACCGGACATTTCAGGCTTTGCATCCAGCTCAGTCAAGCATGAGATGTCTAGTGAGAAAGACATCGGCATAAACAAGTTGACTCGACACACACATGGCTGCAAAGGCTCCCTGATACTGGCACAGCAAATTTGCAGATGGTTCCATCTTGGATAGCATCTCTCTCGCTGCCTGGAGCGCCCAGGTGGGGTTGCTGACCGGGAGCAGCACGTAGAGGGAGTGCCTGCTCAGGACTTCTGAGGCCTGTTTGGGCTCTTCGAACACCCGGGAGCCGGGCTGCGCCAGGTGCAGGAGTGGCTCCGGCAGGCGG